CAGAAGTTGTTAAAAGTTTTAACTGTTATTTTACTCCTACTGGGTCAATTCCATTTATTTGAACAATTTTGATGATATTCATCACAGCATCGCTAGCTACTGGCCAAATATTATTACCCTTGACCTAATTTGTTTATATTCAGAAGTCGTTGGATGAAAATAAGAAGTGAGACCGTTGCTGAACCATCATACATGTGTATATATATATACCGGTTATCATATATAATTTGATGGAAGTATATGAGCAAAAAACCTTTTGGGCCAGATTCATTTGCTTATCACTTTAAATGTTTAACAAACAATTCCATACTATAGATGGCTATAATGTATTAATTTGGCTTCATGTGTCAATCAAAAAAGCTGAATCTAGACTATAGGAAACAGAAGCAAGGACAAAACATGCCTGTCATGGTGACAAACCATCTTTGTTCATTACTATTTACACTGTAATGAGAGAGATAGGTTATAGAAACTTAAATCATTCACCCCTGAAGATACATTTGAACACTTCCAATTCAAAGGTTGGAATAGTTCATTATGAAATTTCAGGGGTGAATGAGTAAACATTTCAAAATAGTTTTTTTTAAATGAGCTAGCTCCGAGAAAATAAAATGACTACTAGTAAACTAGTAAACTTGAAACTTAAAATTGCGCAAAATCCATTTTGCCTCCGCGTCTTATAACATTATTATACAAATGACCAAAGAATCCCAGAAAATGACCTATAACTTGTTAGCAAATTTTGTTCACCAAGATTCCTGTTAAATGTATCCTATTGGTTGTAATTTCCAGGTGTTAATCGCTATCTAAGTCAATAACACTAACCCTTGTGGTACACATAACAGGCTATTTCTGGTAACAATGGCACTCTTTTGTTGATCAGAAGTTTAATGTTTTTATAATTGTATCTTGTTTTATTGACATTAAGAAGCTTTGCAAATAATGGGGTGTTGATCAGGTTCAGGTTGAAAGATGGGACAGTTTGTCAGCGGAAGCTGAACTTTTCTATTCTTAACTTTAAATCTTTCATATGATCTTCATGTTTCATACAAATGTATTATTTTAAGCGATTCCCCAGACATTTTTATAATACCCAATTTTTAAGAGAAATTCGTAATATTTAATTTATCTTTAATTAATCAAATATTTAAGAATAATCATTGTTTTTTTTACTTAGTGTCTTTACTTAGTGCCTTGGTTTTAAACTACCAATATATTTTCATGTTTCTAATCAGAGATTTAAATTCAATTTCAAATTTCTTTGTTAAGAATGATCAGTTATAAAATGCTTTGTCCAGTATATACAAAACAGGGATGGGAGTCCTTAAAAATCTTGTTCAGTATACATGTATACTGGAAAACTGGGAAGGGTGTTTATTACGTACCAGAATCCTGCCTTATACTACACAACAGTACCTTAAATCTTATTCAATACATATACTTGACAACGGGGAAGGGTGTTGCCAAAATCTTGTTCAGTATACTTAATTGACAACAGGGAATTTCGAAGGGTGTTACGTACCAGAATCATGCTTTGTATATATACTTCACAACAGTACCCGAATTTTAATGGCAAAGATTTAATTCTGTGGAAGTTTAAAGTTCAAAAGAATCCCTTTGGTCTTGAACTGTTTACGTAGATGTCAACATATAAAGAAACATCCAGTAACTATATTGATGTAGCTATATATAGCCACCACACAGGTAATGTACAGGTAGCACAGGTGAACATTTTCATATTTAGAATATATTGGTATATAGTCAAACTTCCGTAAATCAGGGTACGATGATTGAGACTTCTCGATGTGTAGAGCTTATATATATTTACGGCAAAGTCCAGAATCGTTTTCCTTACTACATGTTATACTCTTTTCATGAATCAGACCTTTATGAGTCAAATTTCTTGCTGTTTCTAAGTCAAATCAAGGCCCATTCGTTATTAAAACAATGAAAATTACAACTACATTGTAATATATGCATGTGAAATATTCACTTGTTCAAAAACATTAAAATGTCCCGTGGTTATTTTTAACAGTATAGTGGCTTCGGAAATTTAATAGACAAAGAATTGTTGAATTTGATAAGAAATCCAATATCTATATTTAAAATTAAATGTCTTGCTTGTGTTTCATCACATTTTTAAAGAATCAAATTCAGTCTTATTTACAGGGTCTCGATATTCAATATTTGTGAGTCGATGTTTTGATTTTTTCCAGATGGTACCGGCCCACGAAGTTTGAAACATCGAAGTTTGACTGTAGATAGTGCTACTAGTCTGATCTATATTTTCATAGTAGGTACCAGTTATAAATTGAAGATGTTCTCTAGTCATCATTAAATCTACCAGCCCCGGGCGTTTGGCTAGTGCAATTGTACATTATACATCCCTGTGTTGGCTTTCCATTTTATCTGTTACCTTCTTATATTACATTCAAGCTTTCAATTTTCGGTCTAAAATGAAACAAAATACTACGAATATGACCTTAAACTTGAATTTATCATCTTAAATTTGCACTGATAGAGGTATACATGTAAAATATGATCCAGGAATTGGATGTTAGACATCAAAGTATCACGGATCATATCCCAGTCATGAGGCTACATTGTGTACCTGGGGCCCTTGACCTGTTGTTCAAAGCATTGTCAGTTTCACAACAACTTAACATTAAACTTTCATCTATTAAATCACAGTTTATGTTACAAAATATTGACACTCAAAACTAAAAATGTATCTATAAATTCAAAATACATACCAGAAACACAAAAAATAAGCAAATTTCTCGTTTAATTTCCCCAAAAACTGGGTTTTTGTTTTTGTTTGTTAAGACTTTGACTCAACGGTCCATGGTGTGTATGCTATACCAATCCCATTCAGTGATTTACTAAAAACAGATTCCCCGTGAATAAATCGGTATTGACGACCGGGACATTTCCTTCCTCTGTTGAATGGGCACCAACAATGGCTGCGTTGACGGCCAACAAAAGACATTTCCTAATTCACAGACGACACAAAATTGTACTACTATGTCACATGAATGCGTACCCAAGGGGGCCCGCTACCTGTTACCAACCAACTGAGCTCTCAGCAAGCTTATATACTCAAAGACCAGTTAGCTTGAACCCAAGAAATATTGAAATGTATCTTTAAAAGGACCATTTCCTGATCATGAGAATGACAGATATCCAGTAAAGAACATATATCGAAAATGTAATATACTATCTACAGTATGAGGTTATATAAATGATCAATAAATATCAAGCTGAAACATCTTTCAACAATTTTGGCAGGGTTGTACGCAAATAAGTGTTCCAACTCCTATTTACTGTTATATACGGCTTCTGTCAATCACCAAGGCAAATATTATAACACACACATACCAGAATCTGGAATTATTAATTATTGCAGACAGGACAATATATATTTAGAAAGAAGTCAAAGTCATGATATGGGAACAGGCAGTTGTTATTCTAAACAAATTTCCAAGATCTTAAAAGTCTTGCATAAATCAGTGTTTTCCCCAGGCTGTTTTTGCAGCATGGCACCATGCTCCTATAATTTCTTACCATGCTGCTATCCTAGATCTTCTCTGCTATATATTCATAGTAAATCTAAAGTTACCATGCTGCTTTAACTTTACATAGAGTGCTGCTTTAACAGCAATATTGAAATACCATGCTAAATCTTTCAAAACATTCTGGGGAGAACACTGTAAATAATATACCGTTGTACATATTTTCGTGGTATTTAATAATTTCTGCTTTAAACAATTGCGTTAAGTGAAGGTTCTATAAATAATATGTAAAGATTTCTATTGCATATATATTGTAAGTCAATTCGTTAAAGATTTAATCTGTTACAGTTTGGTAATGCGCTAAAATTTGAATCCCCTTAAATAAGTAATGTTACAGTAATTGACCACTATATGGACTTAAGTAATCAACATGAAATACGTCAAATCATTTCTTCTGTTCAAGTAAAACATAGTGTTGTCATTTTAACGAAATACATTGTCCGAACTGCCATGTTGTTGTTGCAAGTCACTTATGCAAATTAAAAAATGAAATCTGAGTTTTAAAAATTATTTCCCTTGAAGCACTGAATCTGTAATTTATCGTCTCAAGTGGCCGTGAGATCACTTGAAGATAAAAGTAGGAGAGTGACAATGCCAACAGATCTAGAGCAGCGAGAAATCTGTATCAGCAGACTTCTACTGCTTTATAGACTCTTATTAAAATTAGTACGTAGCAAGGAGATAGGCTAGAAATCATGAACGCTACCGAAAACTCCATAAAACCAACACACAATTATTCTGACTAAAATTAATGATGAATTTTGTATTTCATTAATCAGTTTATTGGCCTTATTAACGAAAAGTTGACAAAGTAAATTAATTGGAACATCGTTAAATCTCAGAAACAGACCTTCAACTTTTAACATGTTTCATTTTGAGTTTTATAATAACCGCTAATGCAATTGTGGTGGGATATTAAAGGCAAACCGAATTCTGTAGTAAAATTAATGTCCATCTTAAGTACTCAATACTTGGTATTACTATACACTTACATTTCATTTGGTAGCTTAGTCATTAAGGTTGTCAGTGGTTCAAATAACTTTTGAATTTCACAAAAACTTCTGGTACAATTTAAAAGTCTTAAAATTTAAAACTGCACAAGCCAAAATGATGCACATTTTGTTCGTAATTGAAAGTAATAAATAGAATATAAAGCCATACATGTCAAGATGGTACATATACAACTAACATCTAAAATAAGAAATATGTTTATGTTGTTAGATATCATTTTTGGAGTGTTTATAAATGTACATTATACATTTTTTATGAATTCTATATACATTGTATGTGGTATGTTTTCTTCCTTATTTTCATAATTTTCAAATTGGAATAAGTTAGTTCTCAAAATGTGAATGAATCCCATCAGAAACGCACCTATCTAGAACTCAAATATTTGTGTCCCAAAAATCGCTGACAATTTGTACTTACCGAACACTCTGTGAAGTAACTCTGGGAGCAGCCCAGAAAATCTGGCCACCCCTGGTAATCTTCGACAAGTCTGCAGGCTTCGTGCGCTCTCTGACATGCATCCTTGCTCGGCAACTCCACCTGTGTTTTAGCATTGTCACACTTCGGTACATACACAGAACACAAGAAGGGCTGGACAACCAGCCAACACTCTGGAGCACCTTGTAGACCCTTCCATAGCTTCAACTTCTGTTCAACTTCCGCAAGGTTCGAAGAATCACTGACAAATTCCAGTGTTGTGTAGTTGAATGGAATATTTGCCCCCAGACATTGTGTAAATGTTTTCGGAATGCACTCATTTACAGTTCTTGAGACATTGCAAACCGCACAGAGAACATTTTCCAGACAAAAAATGTTCAAAATCACGAGACTGTACAAAAGTTTTGTCAAATGACGATGGAAATTTTTAGAAGACATGTTTCACTGTCGATAAAATCATTCCTCCAATTTAATGGCCTAAATCATTTTCTTAACAAATCTTTTCAAAACAGCCGTTGATAAGCAGGAAAAATATGCATCTTCACACTTAAATTTATATATGTATACATGAAATAATGAATGAAATTTCATTAAATTTTAAACAGTTAAAAAATATAATTTACACTTTCAGCAGCACTTCAGGGTAATATACGATTCACAACATAAAAGTTGACATTAGAATTGATTTTAAGTTAAAGCACCATTTCGAAAATTATTATGACTTTTGACTGCATAGAATTCTAGATAATCATAAATAATTTTGTCACCATGGTAACTGGGATTAACGTAAACAGGTTCACGTTTTGTCCAGTCCACAAATTATTCCATTCCGTAAAAAGGACAATCACAGAAGTTTCTTTAGTCGTTGTCTTGACCATGGCCGAATTGGTCGTGTCTGCATGACAACCATATCACGGATGAATTGCGTCGGCCAAGCTTTATCAACCATGACAGTGACGGCTGGGCAATACCCTGGAATGGCCAAACTAGTTTGACCACCGGGCAATCACCAACACCTGTAATGAAATTTACAATGATGCAAACAAAGGGCTATCAATACTGGTCAATAAAGGATACGATAAAGGTATAAAGTTATCAGTTATTGTTCTGCTAGGACTGACTGCTAGGATTGACATCACAGTACTTTAACAGACTCTTACTTATTCTGTCCCCATATGGATATTTTGAAAATTGTTTGCAAAATTTGGAAAATTCATGAAATAAATGCATAACTTGATTTTTTTTAATTTTCAATTACTGTACTCCTATTTTTGTTCAGAGCATCCCATTCCGATTCCTTACTTGTTGTCTATGACAGCTAATTTTTTTTTTTTTTTAGAATATTTTAAGTTTCTTAAGTTATTCTCATTTTCCGGAATTTTGAATTGAAGAGCCCAGGATGTTAAATATATTTTTGGCAGGTAAAATATGGAAGATCTACCCAATGTTGCATTTAAGAATGTTTTATTGTATAGGTCTTACATACATTGCCATACTACATGTATGTTCTTCCCACTTTGTCTTTGAATGTAAGGTAATGAGATTGTACATACATGTTGTCCTTATGGATTTTGGACTTGTTTAAACTTCCTCTTGTTTATCATAATTATCAACAACATCATATAAGGCAAATTACCATCAAATATACAAGGGAAGTTACATCAAACTTGATGGCCATAAAGTCATAAAATAGAGAGCCTTAATTACACAAGATAAATACAGACACAATCATGTAGCCGTGTACAGGTTGATCCAGTCACTATACTAACAAAATCTGGTTTCCGTATTATTGCGATAAAACTAGTTAAAACATGGAAGAATGGGAACTTTAAAAAAAAATCTACTTATTTTATTCTTAATTGCCTCTTAGGGATGAGCACCCTTAATCTTGGTGAATTTTTAGAAAAGATAATTTTCATCAATTGACCAATACCCTACTTGCCTATTTGGGGATAGACTTACTATTAATTGGGGGTAGGCTTACTATTAATTGGGGGAAGGCTTACTATTAATTGGGGGAAGGCTTACTATTAATTGGGAGAAGGCTTACTATTAATTGGGGATAGGCTTACTATTAATTGGAAATAGCCTTACTATTAATTGGGGATAGGCTTACTATTAATTGGGGGAAGGCTTACTATTAATTGGGGGAAGGCTTAATATTAATTGGGGATAGGCTTACTATTAATTGGGGATAGGCTTACTATTAATTGGGGATAGACTTACTATTAATTGGGGGAAGGCTTACTATTAATTGGGGATAGACTTACTATTAATTGGGGGAAGGCTTACTATTAATTGGGGATAGACTTACTTTTAATTGGGGGAAGGCTTACTATTAATTGGGGGAAGGCTTACTTTTAATTGCAGGGTAAGCTTACTATTACTTGGGGATAGGCTATTACCCTGCACTGACCCATATCCACCCAAATCCTGCCATATCTACCCAGCAATAGTGTGCCATGCAATGATCTAGTGATAACTTAAATATCTAAATTCTGCATCTTGATTCCACTCAGTTTCCATTAATTCTTTTAACAGAATTTAACAGAACAACTAAGTGCACACTACAACATTTTTTAAAGTGTTTTTTACTTATTTTAAAAACTTTAACCATACATGTATATATATAGTTAAGTGGGTAGTTGTGTGATTGTTAAGACTTTTTTTTTTAGATTTTTACCACACTGTTGCATTTGGCAAGCACATTCAATATAATTAAGATATTCCATTGCCATTGTCAAGGGACTGCATTGGGGTACTGAAATTGGGCTACCATACCAATATATTGCAAATATTGTAACACAATTATTTTGTTGAAAAAGTATAGCATACAGCACAAATTTAGGCTAGCACTACACACAAATAGTTTTTCTTCAGTGTGCCGTGTACGTACAATCAAAACAAAACCATCACACCAAAGGTGTCAACCACGCGACAAAATCACAAGAATGTGTGAATATGACACATACATGATATTGTGTTGTGTACAATACACACCAACACAAAAAGACTGCTGCATGTCAAACTTAAAATTAGGTTAATTAAGAAAATGCAATCCATATAGAGAATGAAAGACTCAAACTTACCGCCACTTGGCTGGCTATGTAAATGTTGGGATTAATCGATATTATCCCACCACATGGTTTAAGCCAGCATGTCAATAAATGTTGATATCTCGCCAACGTATACCTGAATGACCTAAATAATCAATATCCTTCGCGTCACGTGATCAAAAATAAAGCTCTTCCGGTTTACGGGGGCGAGTCGTTTATCAATGAACTTATTACGACTTGATTTCCCCGTGTTATAAAAATGTGTTGCGTTTCTGCACTAAATAGAAATGTAGAGAAAATATGCGTCACTGATTTGATAAATTGTAATAAAAAATATTGGTTTTAAAAAATTATTTCAGGAGAAATTAATACTGATCATTCCAAAAAATATTTTCCCAAAACAAGATGTCTGCTCCCATGAACAGGTGCCCGTAAAGTTTGCACGGGAACAGATCATAGGTAAGTAACTTCATTTTGCGGTTGTAAAGCACACTAACTGTCACACGATCATTTAAACCCTGTTACACAGTTATGGTTGCAGGAGTTTGTTGAGATGTTGTTCATTGTATGTACTTTGTAACTCTGTTGAATCAAAGGGGCTAGCAGTAGCAACGATTTATAATATGGGATTAAAATAAAAATAGCGAGAAAACATACGTAACTGTACATAACATTTGGGTGGTGGTTAAGTTATGTGTTACGTATTTTTTCTCGCTATTTGTATTCTTATCCTATATAAATCGTTGCTAGTCCCTGTGGTTGGATGTGATAATATAAAATTATCGCAAGGTAAGAACCATCGACATTTTCGATGACGAAGTGGTCTAACTGTACCGACTAGGCAGATCATTGATGCGAGACAGTGGGCCGCTGACAAATCATGTTGTCTGGGTTTAGCCAAGTTTATCCTGCAAATTGGTGCTTTTAAAGATTTACACGTTCCCTGCAAATCTGCCACTTTGCCATGACTTTTCTTGGGGCACCTTCCATTCATCCCAGGAATTCAGTGCTTCATTCTACTAGAACATTTAATGTTATGTAATGTATATAGTATAAATTAACATTAGCACACAAACGTTTATGAAAAAATATAAAGGCATTGAAACGTTGCTCAAACGAGCTTTCAAATGATGGAAGATACTATGAATTAGACTGTGAATGATTTTCTCTTGGCCCAAACGATTTATGGTAAAATTGGCCCAAGGTAAAATCGGCCTCGATTTGCCCAAGTGAAATCGGCCCAAGATAAAATCGGCCCAAGATAAAATCGGCCCTATGTTTACATGGAATATACATAAATGTTATAATAACCCCTTTATTTGGGTTTCATTTATATATCAAACTCTGAACATATATATTTCAATTAATTAATTCCTTTCTGCATTTCCTTGTCTCACTCGCGAGTTCCACAAGGGGAGGTTACCTGTACTAATGTGATCGGTTATATACGTCAAGGAAGATAGTTATCATTTTGTGTGTAAAAAGGTCAAGTTTAATCTGAAACACTGACATTATTTAATTAGATTGAATTATTCGAATGATTTTGTTTGATATGATTAATGAGGAAGTTAGCCGATGCATACAGAGGCAGTGATGATCGAGGTACTCAAGAGTTAATTATGAGCTACTCAGCTATAACAACAGTCTGGTAGGCAAACATCATTGTTCGTGTAAGGCAATAAAAACAAAACAACACCAGTACGTAAATAAAGAAATCCTTTAATATATTTATTTAAATATAATTATACTTATAAATGTAGATATTCCATGTATTTAACATATAGATACATAGTAGGGCCGATATTTCCTTGGGCCGATTTAACCAAATACCGCCTTAAAACAAACCTAAAACATTTTGAAAAAAACGAAAAAAAATAAAAAAAATATTCTTGCACCATGCTAATGTGATATCTTCTTTGCATGAAATTTTACTCAGAACTTTGGGCCGTAATGTCGAGACGTATTGGAAATCCACGCAAGAAACGGAGGGTGTATGTGAGTCGTGAACCACCTTTTCCTGTTCCCATAGCAACTATCACAGGGGAGACTGCAAATGACAAAACATGGTTTTACTACACAGGAGAGTTCCATGGTAGCCATGTGGTAGTAAGACATTCTGGGGATGTTGATTTTCTTTACAAAATGGTGAGTGCAGTTGTATAGGCATCAATCTCAAACTTTACAAAAATAAAATCTCTGAAACATGTGTCCAATGTAGTTTGTTTGCTTATTTTATGGTTAACTTGTCACTAAATATATTTTTTTTCAGAAATTTCGGAAATAAAAATTGTGATCGATGAAACAATGTAATTCTGTATACAAGTAGAAAATATGTTATTATATATGTAGCCTTTTTTGTAATGAAAAGTCATTTGTTTCGTGAAAAATGATAATTTGATCTATAGATTGAAAACTCTTACCTTTATCGTCTTGAATCCTCCTCTGGGATATAAAGACACTATGAAAATTATCCTCCTCATGCACCTGTACCTATCCTTGTCTAGCCAATGTGCATCACCCTAAGTGAGGTTGAACTGACTCAACTAGCTCTGAGGTGAAAGGCGACGACCCGTCCCACATTGCTTTAAGTTGATAAAGTTTCCTTTTAACAAGTGGTATCCAACTGAGTGTGATTTTCAGAATGTGTGTTGTTGTTTCATTCTCAGGACCTGTACACGCCATCTCATTTTTTTCTGCTTGTTTCTAGATCTCCTGACAAAGATTTGACAGTCTGTACACAAGTTCTGTCAGTAAAATATGATTGATCTATTTTCGGGACCAGACAAAGATGTGCTAATTTTCACTGTTTGATTGCTCTGAAAGTTAAGGTCTGTCCTTTTGAGTAAAATATAATTATGATACATTTACAATCAATGTCTTACCTATGTTTTGTGTCCAACTTTGATGTTTCAGGGATTCTTTGGAAAAGGTTCTCTGTCCAAGAGCAAACCTGATTTCAACTCTCGTGCAAGGACCGTCAACATTCCAGACGCATCAGGGGAGACAACTAGAGTTAAACTTGCAAACAGGAGAAGGTATGATTTTGTATAGCAGTGTTTTAGGGAAGTTTGACCCTGTATGAAATACTAATAAACTTTTTCATGTCACTTCTCTTTTATTCCATTGCTTTTCAGTAACAACAAGACATTTCAGATTACAATTCATAACCATATTTATTAAGGTAGAAAGTTAATTCCTGTAAAATTAAAATTTATGTTACAGTTCACTAGCAGTGCCAGCAAATACTCTATCATTGTCCTGTCATAAGTCCAAGCCCTACTTTGTGTCGGAAATTATGTGTTGGACCCCAGGACTTATTGCACGATAAATACATATTGACTTCTACTGTTTAGAGAGAGAAAGGGAATGAAAAGGAGAAAGAGAACAAGAGATAGGGAATACAAGATACGATAGAGAGAGGAAAGAGATAGACAGACTGAGACAGATTAAAAAGAGGAGATACAATGCAAAAGCTAGAGAGAGAAGAGAGAAAGACAGACTGAGACAGATTACAAAGAAGAGCTACAATAGCTATAGAGAGAAGAGAGAAAGACAGGCTGAGACAGATTACAAAGAGGAGCTACAATAGCTAAAGAGAGAAGAGAGAAAGACAGACTGAGACAGATTACAAAGAGGAGCTACAATAGCTGGAGAGAGAAGACAGAAAGACAGACTGAGACAGATTACAAAGAAGAGCTACAATAGCTATAGAGAGAAGAGAGAAAGACAGGCTGAGACAGATTACAAAGAGGAGCTACAATAGCTAAAGAGAGAAGAGAGAAAGACAGACTGAGTCAGATTACAAAGAGGAGCTACAATAGCTGGAGAGAGAAGACAGAAAGACAGACTGAGACAGATTAAAAAGAGGAGCTACAATAGCTAGAGAGAGAAAGCCAGACTGGGACAGATTAAAAGGAGGAGCTACAATAGCTAGAGAGAGAAGACAGAAAGACAGACCGAGACAGATTAAAAGGAGGAGCTACAATAACTAGAGAGAGAAGACAGAAAGACAGACCGAGACAGATTAAAAGGAGGAGCTACAATAACTAGAGAGAGAAGACAGAAAGACAGACTGAGACAGATTAAAAAGAGGAGCTACAATAGCTAGAGAGAGAAAGACAGACTGAGACAGATTACAAAGAGGAGCTACAATAGCTGGAGAGAGAAGACAGAAAGACAGACTGAGACAGATTAAAAAGAAGGAGCTACAATAGCTAGAGAGAGATGACAGAAAGACAGACTGGGACAGATTACAAAGAGGAGCTACAATAGCTACAGAGAGAAGAGAGAAAGACAGACTGGGACAGATTAAAAAGAAGGAGCTACAATAGCTAGAGAGAGATGACAGAAAGACAGACTGGGACAGATTACAAAGAGGAGCTACAATAGCTGGAGAGAGAAGACAGAAAGACAGACTGAGACAGATTACAAAGAAGAGCTACAATAGCTATAGAGAGAAGAGAGAAAGACAGGCTGAGACAGATTACAAAGAGGAGCTACAATAGCTACAGAGAGAAGAGAGAAAGACAGACTGGGACAGATTAAAAGAAGGAGCTACAATAGCTAGAGAGAGAAAGCCAGACTGGGACAGATTAAAAAGAAGGAGCTACAATAGCTAGAGAGAGAAGACAGAAAGACAGACCGAGACAGATTAAAAGGAGGAGCTACAATAGCTATAGAGAGAATAGAGAAAGACAGACGGGGACAGATTAAAAGGAGGAGCTACAATAGCTAGAGAGAGAAAGACAGACTGGGACAGATTACAAAGAGGAGCTACAATAGCTAGAGAGAGAAGACAGAAAGCCAGACCGAGACAGATTAAAAGGAGGAGCTACAATAGCTAGAGAGAGAAGACAGAAAGACAGACTGAGACAGATTACAAAGAGGAGCTACAATAGCTAGAGAGAGAAGAGAGAAAGACAGACTGAGACAGATTAAAAAGAGGAGCTACAATAGCTAGAGAGAAAAGAGAGAAAGACAAACTGGGACAGATTAAAAAGAGGAGCTACAATAGCTAGAGAGAGAAGACAGAAAGACAGACCGAGACAGATTAAAAGGAGGAGCTACAATAGCTAGAGAGAGAAGAGAGAAAGACAGACTGAGACAGATTACAAAGAGGAGCTACAATAGCTAGAGAGAAAAGAGAGAAAGACAGACTGAGACAGATTAAAAAGAGGAGCTACAATAGCTAGAGAGAAAAGAGAGAAAGACAGACTGAGACAGATTACAAAGAGGAGCTACAATAGCTAGAGAGAGAAGAGAGAAAGACAGACTGAGACAGATTACAAAGAGGAGCTACAATAGCTAGAGAGAGAAGAGAGAAAGACAGACTGAGACAGATTACAAAGAGGAGCTACAATAGCTAGAGAGAGAAAGGAGAAAGACAGACTGAGACAGATTACAAAGAGGAGCTACAATAGCTAGAGAGAGAAGAGAGAAAGACAGACTGAGACAGATTACAAAGAGGAGCTACAATAGCTAGAGAGAGAAGAGAGAAAGACAGACTGGGACAGATTAAAAGGAGGAGCTACAATAGCTAGAGAGAGAAGAGAGAGAGACAGACTGAGACAGATTACAAAGAGGAGCTACAATAGCTATAGAGAGAAAGACAGACTGAGACAGATCAAAAAGAGGAGCTACAATAGCTAGAGATAGAAGAGAGAAAGACAGACTGAAACAGATTAAAAGGAGGAGCTACCATAGCTAGAGAGAGAAGAGAGAAAGACAGACTGAGACAGATTACAAAGAGGAGCTACAATAGCTAGATAGAGAAAAGAGAAAGACAGATTACAATGAGGAGCTACAATAGCTAGAGAGAAGAGAGAAAGACAGACTGAAACAGATTAAAAGGAGGAGCTACAATAGCTAGAGAGAGAAGAGAGAAAGACAGACGGAGACAGATTACAAAGAGGAGCTACAATAGCTACAGAGAAAAGAGAGAAAGACAGACTGAGACAGATCAAAAAGAGGAGCTACAATAGCTAGAGAGAGAAAGACAGCCTGAGATAGGTTAAAAGGAGGAGCTACAATAGCTAGAGAATGAGATTAGAAAGAGAAAGACAGACTGAAAAAGATTAAAAATGAGAGTAACAATAGCTAGAAAGAGAGACAGAAAGAGAAAGGCAGACTGAGATATATTAAAAAGCTAGAGAGTGAGAGAGAGAAAAAGTTTTGATATAACTTGTATAAGACCACTTAATGCTTCACTACAGTTACATTCGTCATATGAAGTGGAAAAGGTTGGAAATGCAGCATGCTGGCGGTGAAATATCACCAGATGACCTTGTGGAATATGACAGCTCTCTGGAGGTTTCCATCCAAGATGAAGAGATGAGTACTAAAGGTAATCACATTGACTTTCATTGTCAAAGAAAATCTGTACTTGACTGTACGGTGAGTAATGTATACTGGGGAAGTTCAGCTGCAGTTAAACCTTAGCCTTTTCACCCTCTGCAATTGGGGTGAATTGATATTTTTTTATAACATACTTAACAGTGTAACAGCCAAGGAATATGAGGGGGAAATACTGCCATGCAGGCAAACTAGCAAGCTTTTCAAGCGATGCATTATGATCCGTGGACGTGACCACTAGTTCAGCAACTTTGCACTATACATTCAATAACATACATTTTCAATAATCTGTTTTATTCTATTGTTCGTAGATGAACTTGTAGCTGGTGATAAGGAAATGAATGAACAGCCTAGCCCATTAAGAACACTTTCAGTAGGTCCTACTGTAGCTGCTAACTGGAAAGATACAGATGAGGAATTCTGGTCATCTCCTGCGGAAAATCTGAAAAGAAATTTCCAAAGTTCTAGTAAAGAAGACTGGGCTGAAACAGATGAAGATTTCTGGGGGAGTGCTCCTTCAGGTCAAAGTGAAAGTAAACATACTGACCATGCAAACTCTATAGAAAATGAAATTGACGCTAGATTACCATCCAAAAGTGAAGGTGCAGATGTTAACAATGTAATCATTGCGGAAACTGAAAGTAGGTTATGTTGTAATAATAACACATCACTGGAAAGTGAAAGTAGTGGAGCTAATAATATAACAGTGGAAAGTGAAAGTAAAATCAATGAAAACTATTCTGAACCTTTACCTTTGGACAGGCGGAAAAAGTCAGATGAAAATATTTTTGTAAATGAAACTCACGAATCAGGTAACCAATCAGATGTGGACAATCAGGGATGTAATGTACCAGAAATTTGTTCGTCATCTCACGATGTTGGTGAAGATTTAGAGAAGGGTGTCGAAAAAGAACCCGACCTTCCGCTAGATCAGCTTTGTGAGGAAGACGAGGATGAAGGAGATGTGCTGGTCGTAGAAGATTCCGACAGCGATACTGAAGGGCGTTACAGGAAACTTTCCAAACAGAGATGGCTTCCAGTGCTTAAAAAAGATGCATACCCACTGAAGGAATTTCTTCACCTTAGTCTTGAGGAGGTAAAGGTTCCTGTTAAATCAGATATTTTTGTGGGGTCAAAATTTCATGGTTCCCAAGAACACATCATTTTGGTGGTACATGAATTCGTGGATCACAAGTACCCGGTTATACAGAGAATAGCCCTATGGTAATCCTGTAACTACTTACTGGCATTTTGAACTCGTGGATTAGGAGTACTCACAAAATCAACAAAATTTTAAACCCCTTGAAAAAGAAATATATGAAGGAGACTAAAGGAAAAAAACAAAATGAAACAAAAACCCTATAAAGGTAACAGAAAAGATTATAAAAATAGCAGCTCTATCATTTAGATAACACAAAAGAAAATACCTATTATTGGAAAAAGGAATGGCGATGGTAAAAGAAAAATTAATTGGTCAGCATCGCAAGGTACATTATTAGCTAAATAAGTGACTATATCAAAATATGAAAATTTCTGTTGTTTGCAAATTAAAGGACATCATGTATTTTCACAACCAAAGTAAGTCACAGTGCATTAGGAAGATTTACAACTTTGGAGAAAAACATAAAGGGCAGGGTGATCCAACGTCCAGGGTGGTGGGGCTGCGCAGAGGATAACGCACTTGCCTTTCACCTAGGCGGTCGGGGTTCGATTCCCGATCAGACGTGAAATGGTATTGGGTCACCTGCCAGACTACATGGGTTTTCTCCAGGTACTCCGGTGTCCTCCCACACTACTGATGTATTTAGTAAAGCTCCACCAGAGGGAGGTAAATACATGTAGAGGAGTGATAGGGCATCAACACTAGCTGGGATTCCATTAGGTTGGTTTTTATTTGGTTTACATGTTTCAACTGACTGAAACAATCGAAACACGTAAACCATATAAAAACCAACTGAACAAAATTCCAGGTGTTGATGCTCCATAACTCATCCACTTGTGTTTACTGTTGAGAAAGACATTTTATGCAGTGTATTTTTAAATTGTCCATAGTATCTAAATTATATTTTAGAATGACACCTATTTCTTTTCAGGCCTTCTTCCTCAGCTATGGATTGGGCTGCCTCATTGTGAAAGAAAACGGAAAGGTTAGTGTTTTCTCATCCATTACACAGAGATATCCACACTTCCAGTCATTGAAAGATTAATAAAATCTTTTACCTGTAATTGAGCGAGATCGGGTTACCTTAGTCGAGGGTTAAGATTTAGTAACAAAATCCCAACCGAGGCGTAAGCCGTGGTTGGGATGTTACAGAATCTTAGCCCGAGACTGAGATAAGCCGATCTGGATCAGTTACAGGTGACTGATTTTTTTTCTCGCACCTTTTAATTCTAAAAGAACTATTCAATTTTGCTAAAAACTAAAAGGATCCCGCCTTGGGCCTCAAATGATAATGACCTCTTCACTACTGAAGCTACATTTGAATGCTTCCTCGTAAAAATGTAGTCCGTCCTTACATAGATTTCAACGTATTTCACAGTGTAGATTATATTTTATCTACAACATCAAAACTATACATATAACGACAAAACAGAACATTTATAATGCAAATTGTCAATTTCAAGCAGTCAACGCGCGGATGAATACATCGCAGTGTAAACATTCCGCGAAATGTCACTTAAAGGTACAAGACAGATCGGACGAGATAGAAAAATCTAGCATGGGGTATGACGTGGGATATCTCTGTATGAGGTGCGAGAAATCTCCGTCTTACTCTAGGGTAAAAAAGGGGGGTATTTCCCTGTCATGACAATTGCATGACGTCACATCAACATGTAATGATGTCATGTCATCAATAGTAGATCAGGGAAGATAACTCCAATCTGCTGGAAATTATGAAATAGATGTTTGTATTTCATGTATTCGATGTGGGAGAAAAATATTCATTCCCCAATTTAGGAGTAAGACAGAAAAATCCCAACCCTTGGTGTAAGATTCTTTAAAGGCTTGCCCTCGGCAAAGTCTCTGACTATACATTTAAGATTCTTACCCCTTGGGTTGAGATTTGTCTGTCTTTACACTCTTTGTCAAAACTTTTCGCTGAAATACCATTTTAACTCTGCCAGAAACATGTCAAGGAAAAGAAGTGTGCATGTATATCAATATTTTAATTAAACCATTTGACACAATGAAAACTGTGATCATCAATTACTTTTTGCAGAAATTGTTTTAAAGAAAGATATTCTATGAATACTTGTTTCATGTACATTTACAACTGTTCCTCAAATAATGTCTTAGGGACAATAGAGTGTACAATTCCACTTTGCTGACACATAGAGCTTGTAGATTTTACTCCAGGACAAGAGAAAATTTTCTGTACTGTGGGCGAGTTGGATCATCAGCCATTGACCTTAGTCGTGCTTGTACACCTAATGTGCTTACATGCTGGTAAACAACAACTAATCACTCACTGCCTTGCTTTCAAATAATCACGCATACGCAGACGACCACTAGTTGCTCTGGTCCGACCAAAGGAAATTGGTAGATTGTACCACAGTGGTCTGGACATGCGCATCGTAGCTTCTTGTCTCTTTACGCGTGCGAAATACACATCTATTTACTAAAGTCAGTTTGATCGTACTTTTAGTAAGACCATACATAATCACCATAATTGATGATCGAACTCGCCCATGTAAACATATGTGGGTAAGTAGGATTTTTCAAATCATGTAATGATTTGCTGCTTGTGTTTATACTTCAGACGCTAGATCTAAGTACGATGTGGATGAGGTTCTGCGAGGCTCAACAAAACTTTCTGCCGAACTATGTTGTATACCACTACTTCAGGAGCCTGGGATGGGTCCCCAAGTCAGGACTCAAGTTCGGCACAGACTTCAGTAAGATCATGTTTTATTAGCTCACCTGCCCGAAGGGCAAGTGAGCTTATGCCATGGCGCAGTGTCCGTCGTCTGTCATCCATCGGTCAACTTTTCCTTTAAAACGCTACTAGTCCTGAATGGCTTAGTGGATTTTAGCTAAATTTAGTATGGAGCATCCTTGGGCCAAGGGCTCTTAATTTTGTATAAACTGTGGGTGTGGCCCCCTCCCTGGGGGCAAAGGAGTGGGGCCCAATAGGGGAAATAGAAGTAAACACTTTAAAATCCCTCTTCTACCATAGGGATTAAGGGATTTTATCCGTATTTAGTCTGGAGCATCCTTGTTATTTTTGCAAGAGGTCGTTTTCATGATAATGCTTCAAACAGCTTATTTGGGCAAATTCATTTTGTGAATTGAATAACAACAGCAATAGATATGTACTGTTTTATGTATTTGGAAGTTTTTCACAAATGAAAAAAAAGGGCAAATTCAACCTGGGTAAAAGTATTATAAAAATTGCTACGCATTATCAGAACGTATATAAATATGCAGGCCAGATTCGGGGAAGTGCAACAGTTTGGTGGGTATAATGTTTCAGACTGCAGTATTTAACAGATCACTGAGAATTCTTCAGCTCGCCTAGATGAAGGCCAAATGGGCTATGTCATGCTATTTTTTACATTGTGTGTTTGTCTTACATCTGTCACCCATCCATTGGTCTACTTTTCCTTTAAAAAAACCTGCTTCTTTAGAACAGCTGAGAGGAATTTAGATTAGGGCATCCTCAGATAAAGAGTTCAGTTTTGTATGTATTAAAGTGATGCTACGGCCTGTACAGAGGGGCAGATCACAATAAGTACAAATATTGACGGCAAGATATGATTTTTAGGTCACCTGAGCTTTGCTCAAGTGACCTATTCCGATCCCNTTTGTGGTTTAACATCCTTGCAACAGCCAGGGTCATATGAGGACGGATGCCTGGGGGACATTGCCAGAAACAAAAGTAGATTAAGATAGGAAAGAAAGTAGACAGGAGGCTGGGAAACAAAAAAGTTCCCAAGTGTTGCCATGGAAGCAGCATATCTCTTCTGGTCTCTTCCGTGTCCTCTTTTGTTGGAGACAGGGAAGAAAACCCCTGATTCTGCAGGCTCCTTCCCCTCATTAGTCAATCTTACGATCATGCAGTGTTATACAGCAGGCCTGTTCTTTCTCTGAACATTCACAAGTTTGCAAGATATTAAACTGACATTTTAATTTCCAGTTCTGTACAAGGTTGGGCCACCATTTTATCATGGCAGCTACTCCGTGGTAGTCAAGACGATCAACGAAGAGGAAGTCAATGCTGTGCCAGAGGTCACAGGGGTTGAAGGTCGTGACTTTTCCTGGATCAGTTTAGCAGGACTCAATCGTGTCACAGAACAAGTTGCTAAGGTAACCTGAACTTATATCCCGCACTTGACAACTTTTTGATATTTTATACATACTCAGAATTAAAAGTACAAATAAAATGTGTGTATGTACAACCTAAGGAAAAAAATAACACTTTTAAATGGCATCTTTTGAGCTTTTTTTCCCCAATAAAATCATCATATCTTAGGAAATAGAAATAGTTCTGCAAATTCATTGGTTGGGACCAAAATTGAGAGTCTCCCTCCAAAATACTGTGATTCATTGGCAAGAATGTATATCTCAGTTAGTGTATTTGAAATTAATTGGATAAACATTAAAGGCTGGTGAAATATGTCAGTAACTTCTCTCTGAAACTGATTTAATAAAAATCTACATAGAGAGTTTATTATTTTTAGCTCACGAAGTGCCAGGTGAGCTTATGCCGTGGTGCGGCGTCCGTCGTCCGTCCGTCCGTCCGTCGTCCGGTGTCAATATTTTACTTTAAACGACTTCTTCTTAATAACCGAAAGGCCTAGGGTGTCGATATTTGGTCAGAAGCAAACTGGGATGAAGGGCTACAAAGTTTGTTAAAATTAATGACCTTCACCCATTTTCAAGGTCACAGGGGTCAAATATGTTAAAAACTTTAAACATCTTCTTCTCGATAACCAAAATGCCCAGGGATATGATATTTGGCCAGTAGCATTCTTGGGTGAAGGGCTACCAAGTTTGTTCAAATGAATGACCTTCAATTATATTCAAGGTCACAGGGGTCAATTGTCTTAAAAAACCTTTAAACAACTTCTTCTGAATAACCAAAATGCCCAGGGTGATGATATTTGGCCAGTAGCATGCTGAGATGAAGGGCTACAAAGTTTGTTCAAATGAATGACCTTCACCCATATTCAAGGTCACAGGGGTCAAATATGTTAAAAACTTTAAACAACTTCTTCTGAATAACCAAAATGCCCAGGGTGATGATATTTAGTCAGTAGCATACTAGGATCAAGGGCTACCAAGTTTGTTTAAATGTATGACCTTGAATCATATTCAAGGTCACAAGGAGCAAATATGTTCAAAATATTTAAACAACTTGTTCTGAATAACCAAAAGGCTCAGGATGTTGATATTTAGTCAGTAGCATGCTGGGATCAAGGACTACTATGTTTGTTAAAGTGAATGACTTTGACTTATATTCAAGGTCACAGGGGTCAAATTTGTTTAAAATCTTTAAACGACCTCTTCTGAATAACCATGGGTCCCAGGATGTTGATACTTTGCAAGTTGCATCCTGAGATGAAAGGCTATAAAATTTGTTCAACATAATGACTTTGTTCGACTTTCAATCACAGGGGTGAAATGTTTTTAAAAAAATTAACAGGGTCTTTTGAATGAGTTTTAATCATAAATACTGATATTTTGCCTGTAGCTTTATTTTAGATCACTTTTAAGGTTACAAGTGTGAGATTTATACCAGGTGAGCGATGCAGGCCCATTGGGCCTCTTGTTTATAATGGCTTAGATATTAGGCAGAGGTCTGTATTTTAGATCTTGGTTGAATTCTCAATAATTCATTTTATGTCAGTAGACTCTACATGTGTAGCGGAACTGGACTATACTACCCGTAGGTCGATTGTCAGCAACCAGGTAGCTCAATTGGTAGGGTGTCTGTTTAGAGTTCGGAGGGTCCCAGACTCCCTGGTTCGAACCCCAGTCTGGCCGTGCATTTTCCCTCTGCTGTTACATATGTATATGTTTTATGTTTTTACACAGGAACTGATGCTATGCTATGTGATCAGACCAAGTGATCTGACGACAGAGGAGCTGAAATCTCCCAAATGTCTCTCCAGGTTTAAAGTACAGGTAGGAAAACACTTATTCTTACGTGGGGCAGCCGCCAGGTACTGGCCGTAGGTCGGTTGTTTTTCTCCGGGAACTCCGCCTTTCCTCCACCACCAAAACCTGGCACGTCCTTAAATGACCATAGCTGTTAATTATATATAGTAGGACGTAAAACACAAACAAACCAAACCAAACCAATTATTCTTTATAAAACTTTAGGGAAAAGAAACTTGAATTAAAGTGTTACCCTAAATTCACTTTTTAGAAAAGTTCTTTAGTGGGCAAGAGGTAATAAAACTTAATAATAAATTTTTAAAATATCATCAATTAGATTTTTTTATTTTTTTTTTGATGGTTTAAGAGAGCAATCATACTAGCCGTTTCCTACCAACTTGGCTAAGGAGAATTTCTCTTTAGCTCATTCCGTAAAGTGTAAAACAAGTAAACCAGAGATCCAGTTTGACTCCTAGCAGAGGCAATGAACAAATATTGACCTCTGTTACATTGGCTTTAATCCTGGAAAAGTTCCTCCTAGAGGGGGAATATGTCACCCTGGTAAAATGTTAGCCGCTTCCTACCAACTTGGCTAAGAAATTTCTCTTCAGTTCATTCGGTAGATCGTACCACCATGGCCAGTAAGCAAAAGGTCTCAAGTTTGACTCCTGGTGGAGGCATTAAAATAAAATTATCTCTGTTACAGTAATAATAATAAAAAAAATCATTGTAAATCAGTGGTGAATTATTTAGCAGGTGTAATGTAATATGTATTTTTTTCTGATTTCAGCAAATAACAGTCAATAGGTGGATCCCATCTCAAGAACGACAAGAGAAATTTGTGGAGGAAATGCCATAGACACAATAAATAAAATACTCAGAAACAATGTGTGTTTGTTTTGTTGATCAAGATGGGGATGCAATTTTTTCTAAAATTCATTGATAAATAATACATGTTCATGTATGAAGTTAATGGAGATATAGTTTCATTTGTTAATTGAAATTATTTTTGAATAATTTTTGACTTTTCAAACTGTCATGTCCCATAGGTCAGGGTTTTATGCTGCGGTCACATCTTACTGTCACGCATATAGTTGACCTATGGCGGATGACCGTAGTAGACCATAGATGTCCTTAGTTAACCACAATAAAACGTGGTTAGACGTAGTTATAAGGTAGTTTGAACTTCAAGAAACCCATGATTTGGCCGTGGTTAGCCAAACACGTTTTGATGCTTAGACCCTACTGTGACTGTAGTTTGAATGTAGTTGACTGTAATTGACCCTACTTGACCGTAGTTGACCGTAGGAGCATGGTACTATGGTTAACACTGCTGTCAAAGAGGGTCAAATAATGACAACTATTAGGGTAAGTACATTCACAGTACTGTTAAATACTGTTAACTACGGTCAGTAGGGTTAAGTAATGTTAAGTTTATAACTAAGATGATCTACAACCAACAACGTTTAATGTGTTTATCTAAGGTCACATAAGTCTACTACAGTCAACCACGGTCATCCCCCACTACGGTCAACTACGGTCATCCCCCACTACGCTGAACTTCGGTCATCCCCCACTACGCTCAACTACGGTCAACCACGGTCATCCCCCACTATGGTCAACTACGGTCATCCCCCACTACGGTCAACCACCGTCATCCCCCACTACGGTCAACTATGGTCAACTACGTTCATCCCCCACTACGGTCAACAAGGTGTGTGACTGTAAGATGTGACCGCAGCTTTAACCAATCAAACTGAGGGAAGGTTTAATCAACTGGTTACCACATTTACTGGATGGTCTTGGAGTCCATAAACAGGAGAAATTGTGGTAGAAAAAACCGTTTTATTACACTGACCCAAGCCATCCAAGGAATACACCCGTCAATTCTTTAAAAATCCATTAGCCCTTTCACCCCTATGTAACTTTAGTAGACTCTACCATGCATTGATCTAGGCAAGTCCATTATGGTCTACAGTGATGAAAGGGTTAAAAACCTCTATGACTTTATGATCAGTAAAAATATGCACAACATGTGTAATGAGAACATATATAAGGAAAATGACATTCGGGCAAGTATAAGTAAGTGTTAACAGGTAAATTTGTTTTAACCCTTTCACCCCTATGTAACTTGAGTAGACTACCATGCATTGATATGGATGAGTCCATTATGGTCTGGAGTGGTGAAAGGGTTAATTTGAATTGAAGTGTGTGGAGTAAATTGTACTACTGGTAGTTTGCCTTGAATATTTTGGAGAGATGAGTCAGAGTATTTATCCAGAAATCATCAAAAAGACATTCCATGAGAAAATGAAATGCACAGCAGGCACTCTGTGTAAAAATTTCATAATGAATTATTCCAACCTCTGATTTGGAAGAGTTCAAATGTGTCTCCAGGGGTGAATGAGTTATTCCAGATTTACAGCATTATTGGGGATATTCAGGTTATCTGTTATTCCAGAGAGAGAAAAATGGACAATTAAGCCCCACAGCATTGCCTGCTTCTGTTAATGGGAGTTGTATCTATTTCAATTTTAAATGTAAATAAACAACAAAAACAATTAAAATTTATAAATATGATATAAAAATAATTTTTATTGCATGTTATAAAGATAATTCAGACCTATAAAATTGCACAATTAAATGAAATTATAGCACCGATTTATGTATAAGTTAAAAAACAGTTTTGAAAGTTGGCACGTAACTGGTGACATTAAAGATTGTCTCATTTATAGTACACAGCAAAAGTACAATGGATACATTACGTTGTACCTCATAGCTTATTAACAAATACAAGGAAATTGCACTGACTGTAAAATATTTTGTCATACTCCAACCACAGAACAAATATTAAAAAATAATTCTTAAGTATTTTAATAAATTAAAATTGTTAGTAAAAATGTACAATAATGATACTTTGTGTCATTTCTACACAGCTATTAAAACAGCATGTATAAGTCAAACCATTGAAATAAACAAATACTAGGCAATTATGTGAGAAATAGATTGCTAAAAAAACAAAATTGGAAACTGTCACTTACGTTTATTAAAGGGGTTGAATTTTTTTGATCCTATATCATTTATCTGTGACGTTCCAAATCACAGATTTCATTCTTAAAAATCTCCAATTGTCAATTAACATATGTGTGATAATGTTTAAAGAATTCACCATTTACATTATCCAAACCAATACTGCATCAGTATTATACAATGTTAATCTAAACCAAAACTGCATCAGTATTAAACAATGTTATTGTACATCTTTCTCGGTTTCCGTGTTTTCCTCATTTTTCTCGACTCTTTCTTGCTCTAAATCAGAGTCAAGGTTCAGTACCAGCGGCATCTTTCTGTGGCTCAGCCATTCAATGAACATGCCCAGGTCTCCCAGCAGGATGGTCTCCAACACGTACTGGTGACACAAAAAGATAGTGCATACAGTGATCACTTGGTCCAAGATCCATACTGGCAATACAAGACTCAACAAGTGTTAAGTGTGGAAAGGTAGCACACTTGCTTTCACTAAGGCGGCCGGGGTTTGATTCCCCGATAATTGAATAGGTATGGGGTCACCCTCCCCATGATCACCACCTGGGTTTTCTCAGGGTACTCCATTTTTTCCCCACATTAAGACCCTCACAAGCGCTAATATCTGGGCCAACAAGTGATTGATATAAGTTAAGCCAACTTGTTTCATAAATGTTGTAAAATGATTTTTTGTTTTACATTCAACTCCAGGATAAATGTTGATGCTGGTAAAATGCCATATAATGAGTTTAACCCTTTCACCCCTATGTAACTTAAGAAGACTCTGCCGAGTCCTTTATGGTTTACAGTGGTGAAAGGGTTAACCCTGTACATTTTATAGAATTCAGTTTCTGAAAATTCTATGCACATATTGAACACACTTAAGGTTACTCGACACATCGTCATCAGCGGCCATTTTCATGANCTACAATTCTGGTTTGATCCTAAGCTAATTCCAGCTTTTCAGTAAATTTTTCATTTTTTTTTTATTATCCCACCTATACTTTAATACAATGTTTTGGGATTAATGCCGAAAAGTCTTTGTGGTACATACAGTATTAGAAAACACTGCTGCATCAACTCATCATTATGTGATTAAGTGGCTATATATGAATCAGCATTCTAACCAACTTTAACATGGATGAGTTGCTACAATGTACAACTTTTCAGGATTGATCCAAAAAGTTTTTCTGGTAAGGTAAGTTAAGTTAAAGTTAAGTTAAAGTTTCCAATTACAGGAGCCGATAGAGCTCCTCTTTACTGAACTCAAAAAATTAAACAATTATGTAATATAAAGTTAAAGTTCATTGTTATTTAAATTTGCCCTGTAATTATATTAAAGTTCTTCATTCTGCCAAAGTTTAACTATTTTAACAAGGAGTCATGGTAGTCTAGTGGTAGGACGCTGGGCTCGTGACCGAAGGGTTGTGGGTTCGACTCATGGCACGGCACTGTGTTGTATCTTGGAGCAAGATACTTTACTCTGCTCGTTCCAGTCTACTCAGCTGTAAATGAGTATGTGGTTGGGCAGAGCTAGAATTGTTGAATGCTAGCTGTGAGCGCCGAAATGGCTGCACCGACTGTATGCTCCCTAGGGAGTTGAGAAAGATATTGGCTGGTTGCAAAGACCCTATAACCACGGATAATAATTTGTGAACCGCTTTGAGATGACCTTCAAACTAGGGTGTGATAAAGCGGTATATAAGAACCTCAAATTATTATTATTATTTTTATTCTGTTCTTAAAAGTATTGATATTTGGAGTAAATACAACGTCCTCCGGAAGGTTGTTCCAGGTTTTGACTGTACGAAATGTGAAATAGTTTCTCCTCAGGGATGTTGACTGATATGGGAATATTTTTTTGGAGTTTCCCCTTGTTCTATTTCTGACTGATTCCTCACTCCAAAGCTTAACAAAAGTACATGCCTCTCTATCGTGAATTCTGTTTACAATCTTGTTCATTTCAGTAAAAATGTTTTTTAAGGATCAATCCCGAAAACGTTTCATGTACATGTATCAGGTATAAATGAATTGTTATTGTAGATCAATTTTTGGGACTGATCCAGAAAATCTGCTCGAATGTACACCCCAAAAACATAACTGATTTTTATTTCTGGGATCGATACCAAAACCAATACATACAGTATGAGAAAACAGTGCTGCATCAACTCATCATTATGTGATTAAGTGGCTATATAGATCGGCATTCTAACCAACTTTAACACGGATGAGTTGCTACAAACACATGTTAAACAGAGAATGTAGGACATTTTCCTCTTCTGGAATACAATGGGTTACCTAAGTGGTATATTCACACAAAAATACAAGTGTTTTAGTTATTATTATGTCACTTATGTCAATTTACACATGGCAAAAGACATGAGGGAGAGTGCATGTATCATCTGTACTAAATTGTACCTTGATGGCCTTCTGCATACAGATAGTGAGGATGGAGTAGGCTGGCAGGGACATCACCAACAGACACAGCTTCGCCTGCAAGGCAAGAAGTCAGGAAACAAATCAAACATTGTTTTTGGGGGGTATTGTGAAGATGCCGCCCATAATGTGTTAAATATCCATAAATTCTGGTTATTTACTGCAAAATAAACTGAAATATCGCAATTATCATAAGGATGTCTGTTTCTGAATTTGATGACATCCTGATCAAAATACTTGGTAAACTTTTCAACAGGAGACTTTAAACACCATTGGAATAATGCTATGAGCTCCTTACCTTAGAGTGTAGAAGGGTTTGGTATTCATGGTAGAGAATTGGCCGAGTTTGTTATTGGGATAATGCTGTGAGCTCCTTACCTAATGAGAGTGTAGAAGGGTTTTGGTATGCATGGTAGAGGATTGGCTGAGTTTGTTATTGGTATAATTCTATGAGCTCCTTACCTTATAGTGTAGAAGGGTTTGGTATGCTAGTACAGAATTGGCCGAGTTTGTTATTGGTATAATGCTTTGAGCTCCTTACCTTAGAGTGTAGAAGGGTTTGGTATTCATGGTAGAGAATTGGCCGAGTTTGTTATTGGTATAATGCTATGAGCTCCTTACCTTAGAGTGTAGAAGGGTTTTGGTATGAATGGTAGAGAATTGGCCGAGTTTGTTATTGGTATAATGCTGTGAGCTCCTTACCTAATGAGAGTGTAGAAGGGTTTTGGTATGCATGGTAGAGAATTGGCTGAGTTTGTTATTGGTATAATGCTATGAGCTCCTTAACTTAGAGTGTAGAAGGGTTTTGGTATGCAGGGTAGAGAATTGGCCGAGTTTGTTATTGGTATAATGCTATGAGCTCCTAACTTAGAGTGTAGAAGGGTTTTGGTATGCAGGGTAGAGAATTGGCCGAGTTTGTTATTGGTATAATGCTATGAGCTCCTTAACTTAGAGTGTAGAAGGGTTTTGGTATGCATGGTAGAGAATTGGCCGAGTTTGTTGAGCATGGTGTTGATTTCTGGGTCACATTGTCCAGTGATAGAGTAGGTTCTCTCTCTCAGCTCATCATACCTAGCAAACATTAAGAGTAACTTGTATATGAAGTGTAATAGGACGAGGAATAGTGATAAAGATAGTGTCGTTGCTGGGGCTCGAACCCGCGACCATTGGCTCCCCAGCCCGATGCTCTACCACTGAGCTAAAGGGATATTTCCTACAGCTGACGCTTGTAAGGCAACCTAATTAATCCACATCTTTTACATAAAGCTCTTATGCTATATTTCATAAGTCGTGGGGGCCCATTTTTAGACATGGAGTATAAGGTATAATTAACAGGAGAAGAGATATGCACGGCCAGAATCGGATTCGAACCTTGGACCTCTAAACTCCAGATAGACACTGAACCCACCAATTAAGCTTCCTCAGTCACTGGCAATCAACCCTGATATTTAACCCCATAATAATCTATTTCAAGGGCACTTTCCTTAAGAGACTCAAAACTACTGATATCAGTTGAAAAGCTGTAATCCTGTTTACTTTAAATCTTAGAATATTTATAACTGCCTAATTTAGATGACAAAAACAGGAATCGAGGAGACAACAAAATTGAAAGAATGACCTCATAATCATTTATTATTGCCAACATGTCATATGGGAACATGTCACAGTCTATAGTAAGGTTATGGGAAGATAACTCCAGGGAATTCTGGTGTAGACTGTTAATATATTCCGTCTTTGCGTATTGCAGAGTTATCTTCTCTTGTGACCAGGTATTGATTGTTACTTCATTGGTTTGTGAGAGAAACGTCATTAATTTTTGAGAAAACGATGTACTTTTCTCGCACAAACCAATGACGCAACAATCAATACCTGCTCAAAAGAGAAGATAACTCTGCAATACGCAAAGACGGAATATAGGATCTTACATGAGTTCCATTTCATATGAGATTTATGAAACGAGTCTTAAGAACTTTTCAAAGAGGCTCGCTAAAATGAAAAATTTGTGACAAGTTTCATAAATTTTATTTGAAATAAAAACGAATGTAAGATCCTTTTATCACATAATCAAGATTTGTTGCATTTGTTTGTGTTAAACGACAATTGAACCTTGAAATGTAAAAAGCAGCTATTTTGACTCCAGTGCGTAAGTCTGTGACGTCATATATACTTGTCCTAAGCGTGACGTCACAACCAACTTATATCACAGGGCTGTTTTATCATATAATTACACAAAAAAAATCACATGGGTATTCACTGGCTAACACAGTACAATATGTGATAAATAATAATAACTCACCACTTAGAAGGTGGTACATGGTGAACATCGACATTGCGTGCCATATTGGTTTTGCCCCTCCGCATGTTGATGACATGCTCCTCAAAGAGTGGACTCAAATTGTCAAACACCTGGTATTTCATCTTGAAGGACACCACCTGTTCCCTGTGTACAGAGATGCATTATGTATTGTATATATATATATATGTTTGTGCCATTTACAGCACAATAAAGGTTTTTATATGCCCGTCAAATTTGACGGAACTATTATGGTATGGCGTCGTCCGTCCGTCCGGCGTAAACTTTTGTTTGTCCGGCAATCTCCTCCTACATTTTTCGACCGAACTCTTTGAAACCTGGTATACATTATAATCACGATATGAAGTTGTGTCTCCCTTAAAAGAATTTTGAATCAATATTTTTTGCAAAAGTTATTGCCCTTTGTTTATTTCAGTATTTGATTTTTGTCCGGCAATAATTGTCAGTTATAATTGTTACATTGTACATAGGTAACGTCAGCATCTTAAGAACTACTGAGTCTACAAAGTATACATTATGTGTATGTATAAGCTACAGAGCGAGACAGATTTTTCTCGCACCTCAGACAGAGATATCCCATGTTATACCCCATGCTAGATTTTTCTTTCTCTTACCCTGTACAGGTGTAACCGCATTTTTACCGGTGTGAGATTTCCTTGTCTCACCCCAGGGTTGACGGGATTCCCCTATTCCTAACAATGGCATGACGTCACTTTAACAATACAATGATGTCACGTCAACAATCCATCAACGTCACGTCAACCCTGAATTTATCATGTAACGTTATCATTACATTGTGCATATGATACACAATGAAAGAACAGGGTAAGAGAAAAAGAATCATTCACTCCCTTGTGGGTGAGATAGTGGAATCTCAACCCTCGGGGAAAGATTCTTTAGTTGCCAAACACTCCGCAAAGCCTCGTGTTTGGCAACTTAAGAATCCTCCCCCTCGGGTTGAGATTCTCCTATCTCACCCCCAAGGGGGTGAAAGATTCTATTAATCTCGTCCGATCTGTCTTGTACCTTTACGTGACTTTTCGCGGAATTTTTACACTATGATGTATTCATCCGTGCGTTAACTGCTTGAAATTGAAAAATTTCATTATAAATGTTCCGTTTTGTCGTTATATGTATATTTTACATGTTGTTAGATATTTGATGTTGTAGATAAAATTCTACACTGTGGAATACGTTGTAATCTAATTGTAAGGACAGACTACATTTTTACGCAGAAGCATTCAAATGTAGCTTTAGTCGTGAGAAGGTCATTATCCTTTGAGGCCCAAGGTCGGATACTTGTAGCTTTTAGCAAAATTGAATAGTTGTTTTCGAGCTAATGTGCAAGTAAAAAAATCAATTGCCTGTAACTGAGCGAGATCGGGTTATCTCAGTCTCGGGCTTAGATTCTGTAACATCCCAAACGAGGCTTAAGCCGAGGTTGGGATTTTGTTACAGAATCTTAACCCTCGACCGAGATAACCCGATCTCAATCAGGTAAAAGAATTTATTAGACAGATACCCATCAAGTGAGTAAATCTCGCCCTGTTTAACCTGTACTATACTTACCTGCACTGTTTCGTCACGTTTGTCAATGTAAACTTCTTACTTACCAGAAAAAAATACAGGGTTTTAAAATATCAATTCCATGAAATATAATCCCAATGAATTTGTTCCCATACAAAAATAATGAAATTTAACCCCAACGAAAATATTATGCCTAAACAGTTCCTACTTGACAAGGACAGATAGAGCAATGATGGACCACAGGCAAATTACGGGGATCATGATCAGCCAGGCCACTTCTGATGATGGCGGGCTAAAAATCTTACCCTTGACTGTAAAAATTAATCTTCCTGTACATTTAGATGTTCTTGTTAGAATGCTCCCCAGGAATGATTAAAATAACATTTCAATGACTTACTATAACCTCTAGTGACCAGTTTTGTTAAAACCCTTTCACCCCTGTTTGACCATAATGGACTCATCCACATCAATGCATGGTAGAGTCTACTAAAGTAACATGGGGGTGAACAGGTTAAGTGACATTGAGATTTGACTTACAATTTATAAAGTGATGCACAATCATTCCTACCTTTCCATTTTCTGTAGCGAGGCCTCCAGTTCCTGTTGAACTGTGGATCGGATTTTGTGAAGTTTTTTCCTGTTATTATATGCTAAGTTGCCTACGTCTTTTGTATTGGTACATTTTCTGTAACAGCAAATAAAAACTGATTTATAAAATCAGTCTCCCTCTAAAAATAAACATGCACAGGAGTCATCTGCCACTAAGGCTTTGAAACCTTATTGACATATTATTTTGGTAAATTCCTGAAATAAGCTGTTTTTTGCATCATGATAAAGTGTGAAATTGGCAAAAATTTACATCCTGGGTCTAAAACTGTTTAAAGCCTGAACTTTTAAGTTAACTGCATTAAACAAATATTAAAGTAAAAATTTTGAAATGGGACATTTGAGATATATCTGAATCATTTCTGATACTGTGATGATTCTCAATCCCTATATATATACATGTTACTTTTCCTTTGGGTTTCAATCTTTTTTACCAGGTAACTCATTCATCTCTACCTATATAATTTGCCCAGCCATTGGTTTGGTAAGGTTTAAATGTGAATGAGTTAATATGTATGAGATTCAATATTTTGTCTGATCTCGCCCTGAAGATTAGAATGCTTACAAAGCTTTCCAAAATTTTCCAAAAAATACTGATACTTTTTTCAGGTTGATTCAATACTTCTTTTACAGTAAATTTCAAATATTAATATTTTAAATACAAACAAAAGTTTGGATTTATTCTTCCATTTTTTCAAATTTGAAGAAAATGAAAACTTATCAGTGTATTTTGAAGATTTGTTATATAATTTTCTAAGTACAATAATAAATGATGAGTATAAACAAAATAAAGATGGATTTACTAAAATCTGATATGTCACTAAAATTACTTTCATTTCTAATGATTATTTTTTTTTTAATACTGTCTACTGTTAAATATAAGCTTTTTTCTAAAATATTTGTAGTTGATTTTAAAACAAGAGGCCCAGACTCACCTGAATATGGTTAAAATATTTGGTATGAAGTAAAGATATAGCACTCCATGGTAGGTGCTATAAGTACATATGAAATTTCAGAAAGATCCGTCCAGTACTTGAGATATAACGAGAACAAACTTCAAACAGAGCCCCACCCCTATGCCCCTAGGGGGGTCATACCAACTGTTTATACAAAATTGAGTCCCCTTGGCCTAAGGATGCTCCAGACTTATAAGGATAAAATCCCTTAATCCCAGTACGGTAGAAGAAGGATTTTAAAGGTTTTACCTCTATTTCCCCTATTGGGCCCCGCCCCTCTGCCCCCAGGGGTGCCACACCCACCATTTATACAGAATTGAGTCCCCTTGGCCTAAGGATGCTGCGGTATGGCATAAGCTCACCATGGTCCTTGGGACCAGGTGAGCTAATAAAACTGGTTCTTATAAAGATTATAAAACTTGAAAATGTTCTACTATGAAATAATGTGCTTTATTTAGCATGCATTCATTTTTGATGAAAATGTAATGGGTTTTTTCAGTCACCCCTGAAATTTCATAATGAAATATTCCATCATTTGAATTGGAAGAGTTCAAATGTGTCTTCAGATGTGAATGAGTAAATTTTCACCATAATTAACCTGGCACCCTTTTTTGATGCAGTTGGAAATCATTAATATCAGAGCACTTCAATCCCCTTCTACATACTTTTTTTTGGTCGGTGATGATTTGGGATATTTCTCACTGGCCACTTGCTGCCAGATCGGCAATTTCTTGGAGGGAGGCATTTCTTTTTTTTCTGTGCCAAATGAAGAGGTAGGTTCCTCTACGTGTGGTGTTTGACTCGGTCCAGGAGAACTTGATGACGCTGCGGAACCACCACCAGGTGAAGTAGAATTCTGATTGCCAATTCTCCTGTATGTTTAATTTAACATTAATATTTCTAACTGTTGAGTTACACTTTACTGAACTTAATTACTATTGATATAATATCTAAGGGCCTCTATGATTTTCATTTTAAAGAATTCCCTAAACCAGAATAAACAAAAAAAGACATAAAACAAACCCAACAAAAACAGAAATGTACACCATTAGGAGTTCACTCCGGACATGCCCACTGCCAAAGTTAATTATCTAGAAAACAGGATGTGTCGTCTATGCAGGCAACTCTAATGAGATTATGAAGACGGGATCTAAGGAAGCACTGTATGATGTCTGAGCCCAATCAACCTAAAGAAACTGGACTTCTCACACAGAAACAATGGCGACATTGACCTTTGACTTTCGAACCTAAAAAGCAATCCCAAGCAAGCACTATTGGTAAGGAAGGACTGTATGAAGTCCGAGTTTGATCATTAAAAATAAACTGAAGTTATCGCACGGAAACAGATTTTCTATTTATAATAAGGTTAACCTTGACCTTTGACCTTCCGACCTCAAAAACAATCCCAAGTAAGCCCTTTTAGGATGGAAGCACTGTATGAAATTTGAGTTCAATCAACCCCAGAGTTATCGCATGGAAACCTTGTTTCGGATGACGCAACCGAAGATGACGATAAAGTAATAAAGACACGAAAATGAACCTCAAAGCAACACACGAATATCCTGACTTGCCAAGGATTACTTAACTGGAACTCCTCTCAATCGTTATATCATCTATAATATACAATGGAAAATACTCCAAATTGAAACGAGAGTTCTGAAAAAAAATAAAGTAATTAGTACGTTAATTGCTTCGGTATTCTTACTGTCGCTTTGAGAGTGTGTGTGTAATACCTTTTGAAATCTGACCCTACATTTGTACAGAGCCCAATATAGTTTGCAAAGTTATTCTAAGGTGCTAAATTACAGCAATTGAATGAACAGCAGTATTCCTAACAGCGACAGTTGTATAAATATAGTAAATAAAAAATGGCATTCAAATCAGCTTTCTACATCAGGTGTATGTAACGAGACATTTATCTCAATATCCATATGAATGTTATATAAAACAAAACACAAAGACTACAATTATATAAAACAAAACACGAAGACTACAATTATATAAAACAAAACACAAAGACTACAATTTTATAAAACAAAACACAAAGACTACAAATATATAAAACAAAACACAAAGACTACAAATATATAAAACAAAACACAAAGACTACAAATATATAAAACAAAACACAAAGACTACAATTATATAAAACAAAACACAAAGACTACAATTATATAAAACAAAACACAAAGACTACAATTATATAAAACAAAACACAAAGACTACAATTATATAAAACAAAACACAAAGACTACAATTATATAAAACAAAACACAAAGACTACAATTATATAAAACAAAACACAAAGACTACAATTATATAAAACAAAACACAAAGACTACAATTATATAAAACAAAACACAAAGACTACAATTATATAAAACAAAACACAAAGACTACAATTATATAAAACAAAACACAAAGACTACAATTATATAAAACAAAACACAAAGACTACAATTATATAAAACAAAACACAAAGACTACAATTATATAAAACAAAACACAAAGACTACAATTTTATAAAACAAAACACAAAGACTACAAAAATATAAAACAAAACACAAAGACTACAAAAATATAAAACAAAACAAGAAGACTACAAATATATAGAATATAGGGTGGTGTGTTCATTAGAACCTAGAATGCAGACGTAAAAAGATTTTGGATCAATGATGTGATGGGAGTTTGCTAGTAACTTGAGTTTCTGAGGGTGGGAAGTGTGCAGCTGAGTGAAGTCTTTCTGAGGGACAGGGAATGTACTATAGGGTCTTTTTATCATTCTGGATTTGATAATTAAGACTAAACTAAGGGCCCACTTGCAGCGTATTTTAGCATTTATCATCCATAACAACATAGATTACATGACAACTTTAACATATAAGACATAACCAACTACATTTATCAGATCCAGTGAAAATCCACACCAATATCTGAAGAGATGGTTGGGAAATATCTGTCAGCTGCATTTGACAAAATGTGGATTATCTCCCTTTAACTGTCATGCTATTAGACATTGCCAATTAAACCATCTTGCATGACATGAGACAACTCCTGAAGATGAGGGAGGTGATTTAAATTCCTACTATCACTTGGCATTTTTCTAAGACATGATCCAGTTTCAGGATCAGGCTTATAGTTTTACCAGAAACTACTATATTACAATTAACTCATTCACCCCTAAAATTTCATTATGGGCTATTCCAAACTTTGAATTGAAAGAGTTCAAATGTGTCTTCCGGGGTGAATGAGTTAATACTTGAACTTTATGTTTCCTATGTTAAAAAGTAATTAATAAACTTCTACTCAATGCAGGGTTTTCATGCTCAAATGATATAAATATATATATATCCCACAATGGATACATTAAACACACGTTTCCATGGTAACTGGACAGGTTTCTAAGGTTACGTACTTCCACTGCATGGCCTTAAGGATGAGGTTGGCATGCATTCCCATCCCTGCTGATGGAGCCTTCCGGCCAATTTGTAAGTTCACCAATTCCTCCCAGGTTTCAATGATGATCTGTTTCTTCTTTTGTATTAAATTCAGAACAGCCTCCATCGGAACACGCATAGACTTCCTGGAAAACAAAAAATATTCTTGAACAAAGGGGGACTGGGCTAGGCATACGTCACCTTAACTCATCAAATCACATTTCAGCACAATCCTGGTCACGGCACCATTTGTAACAGTGAAGAAAATAGTGTGCTTTGACTAGGGATCGAACCCCGATCCCTAGGTGCCTAGTCGGATGCTCTACCACTGAGCTAAAGGGAAATTCCCTACAGCTGATGCTTGTAAGGCAATTTAGGCTTCATTCGCGTATCCCGGTTGAAACGATACAGGTGGTGCAGAAAAAAATCCACGATTAGCGAACGCATTAGAACCGTTCTATAAGCACAGCTAAAAATGCTTAGTTTCAGAGAATAAATAACAATGTATTAAGAATATAATGCCCTTCTTTCACGCGACCACTGAATTACATAACATATCTTAAAAACTACATGTGGCTTGACATTGTTTAAAAAAGAAATAGCGCAAACTAGCAATAGTTAGCATTTTAGTTTTGGTCAGGTACGTCTGGACCCCTCAATCTACATGTGCCAAATTTTCCTGAGGTTAGCCCGACGGTTCCGATCTGTGCCAAATTTTCTTAACAGGTTCAACAAGTTATGGGAATGTAACCCTAATCAATGCACATCTTTTACATTTTGACGCATAAAAAGATCAATGTGAGCAGGGGCCCCGCAAAGCTATACTTATATTTCCACAGGGGTCCCGCAAAGCTATACTTATATTCCCACAGGGGCCCCACAAAGCTATACTTATATTCCCACAGGGGTCCCACAAAGCTATACTTATATTCCCACAGGGGTCCTGCAAAGCTATACTTATATCCCCACAGGGGTTGTATTTTGAAGGTTAATTTTTATATGTACATATGCATATGTGACCTTTGGTGTACAATTTCAAATTCAAAGAATACTTATAATTAATAATAATAATAAAAATGATTATTCAACATTCTTATAAACCACTTACAATGTGTGTATATATCCCCTAGAGACAAAACAACCCTTTAAAATGACATATTTTGATTCGTGTCTCTCAGATAAAATCATTAGATCTTAGAATATGGGGATAGTTTAGCAAATCCACTAGACGAATTTGCTAAATTTAAGGGTAAAAAATTAGGAGTCTTTCTCCTAAATAGGGAGAGTTTGCAAATACCCCGGTATGTATGTGGTATTAAGCTTAAGGCCAATCATCCTCTTCTGAGCAATGAGCCTCAAATCCTTTTCTTTTATGTAATCTTTATCTCTGCAGTACCCCATCCCCAATACGTTTTTTTTTATCCCACAATCACATTTCATAGTGACCCCCTGTACTTTAAGTTGGATTATTACGGTAATTTACATTAACAGATATTAATGTATTTTCACCTCCTTCCAAAACTAAGTGGTGCCTTTGGTGAAGAAAAAGTGTTGGAGATGGTAGATGATGGCAGTTCCTGTACCACTACTTTGCGACCAGCCGGGGGGATGCTGAGATCGGGCAATTTAACGTGGTTGTTACCTCCATCTGTACCAGAGTCCACTGTCGTAGTGGAAACCTTATGCAGCTTGGAATGAAATCGGCTACTACAAAATAATGTTAAATCAACATCAAAACAAGTGATAATAACAGAATTGAATTTCACAGATGATATAGCAGGAAAAATGGTGCATCAAGAAAACATGATAATAACCAAAATGTGACATTAAGTGACATGATATTAAGTGAAATGTACTTTACCTTCTAAGTTTTAAGTCTTTTTTTTTGTAAAGAATATTGAATTCTTAAGACTCATTTATTATTATCAAAAATATAACCAACTTCAAATTAAATTTAAAAGAATCAAGGTTTCTTTAAGTTTGAATTCTTTCTTATGGAAAGAAAATGTTGGTTGAAAAAAAATGCCTCACTCACTGTACTTATAACATAGACAGTTTGAAGTAATGTCCTGAAGTATTGTTTTACTATGTCAATTAGCTAGGTGCTCTTCAGTTTGAGCTGATAGGGATTCCTTCTGCCTACACTTCCTAAATCTATCAATTTTCTCCCTCGGGTCAAAGCTTCAAAGACTCACCATTTTTACCCTCATTTTGTCCTTTTGAAACCAGCAAAATTCTTTTATATGCTAAAATTCTATAGAAAAGTTCAACTCTAGCATTCTATACTAGTAATTTGTCAATGAAAGGGGTTCGTTGTTGTAGATGTGTTTTAGGCTTTTTTTTGCTCGCATAAAAGGAAAGTTTATAATATAATTACTCGCAAACCATACAGCAGTTTGTTAATTGTTTTGCTCGCATTTAAAAAAAATCATTACTGTATTCAAACTCCAGGATAGTTCATTTTTACATTAACACAGCACCACAGTGAGTTGTTTTATTCATATAATAGCGTATCAGTTCATGTTTTACTCACAGGACATAGCAGTTTTTTTCCCCATTCAGATAGCAAAGTTATAATACTCAATTCATTATCAAAATAACTAAAACATGATTTACAAAAGATATGTATAAAGCTTGGAACTATCTCATTTATCATTAGTTCATTACTAAAGTTTAATGATAAAAATTAAACTGATTTATTTCAAAGCACAAATCACGTTTATATTAAGTGGTGGGTTGGTACTTCAACCTACAGTACATGTAGCTGTATAGCTGAGCATATGACTGTCAGAGTTATCTCCCCTATAACTTCCTCTTTCTATCCAATGGTACCAGTAAGCACAGTCATATTTTGTCAAAAGAAATTCAAGTTTTTGTATCTGAATTTTTGCAAGTTTTGCAATTTTGCACAAGTTTGATCAAGTTGATCTGCATATCTCCGTCTCAGAGTCGGTAACCACATCTGTATGAAGCAGCAGCCATGTAATTGCCAAACCTTATTTTTTTTTATCAAAGTAGCTAATTTGGTGTTTGCATTTTCTGTGTCTTTGATAACTTTTTTTACTCACATTGCAAGGTAGTTCAGTTTACTTTCCCTATCCCCAGTATGAACGGGTGCGAGATGGCTGGGGTTATAGTACTTTTCCAGTGCCTTCACTGCGCCTAGAGACAGAGGAGTCTGGAAAAATTTGTTTTACAAAGTTTGTCATTTGGTCAGGTTAAATATATATACGTTGCCTGCCTTGGTCCTATCTGTATCTACAGTGATATGTTTTTCATTGGTCAGAAATTTCTATTATAGTTTTGGCAAAAGAACCAGATGTACCTTCTGGTTTTCTGAAGTGTAATGAGTGGGCTAGGTGACTTGGTTTTTTCTTCAAGTTTTGAGAGTGGACTAGGTGACTTTTACATTTTCACAAGTTTTGTGGAGGGCTTAATTTTCAAATTAGTTTTCTGAGTTTTGGTGAGTGTGCTAGGTACCTTTATTTGTGTTTCTGAAGTTTTCGAGATTCACAGTGCTCAGGGTGACTTTGAGATTACGAGGTTTGGAGAGCGGACATTGTGATTTTGGGTGTTTGACATTTGGAGAATGAGGTTTTGGGTTTCTGGCATGACATGAGGGAAGTTATCAAGCCAGAATATTTCAGCTTTCTGAGGTTAAGGAATTGTTTTTGACTACGTATTGATTTTTGAGGTTTGGAGAGTGTGCTATGTGACTTCAGTTTCTGAGGTTTGGGAATTAGTTAGATGACTTAATGGAGGTTGTGGAGTGGGCAAGGTAAATTTGGATCAATGATGTGATGGGAGTTTGCTAGTAACTTGAGTTTCTGAGGGAAGTGTGCAGCTGAGTGAAGTCTTTCTTAGGGATGGGGGAATGTACTATAGGTGATTTGGGGCTTGTAGAGGATTCAGTTGTCAAAGTCAACTGAGGTTTCTTTAACTCATTCACCCCTGAAATTTCATAATGGACTATTCCAACCTTTGAATTAGAGGAGTTCAAATGGGTCTTCATGGTTGAATGGGTTAATCTACATTGGCTTTTTTCTTAAAGTTTCAGGCAGATTATTCCATTTGATGATATGGTTTATTATACATTATAAAGGCGAAACTTTTCTTTTGAAAACTAGAATTTGAAGGTAGAGTAAAAAGGAATGTAAGTATCGAAACCCCTAACGAAAATGGTAAGTTACTGAATATTTATAAGACAGGTGGGTAGGAAAATGTTTCATTTAATATGGATTAGCATATATTCTGTTTGAAAAACAAGGGAGATTATTAAGAAAATATGGGTAGGAAAGGCAACTAAACGAGGAAGTTGAAGAGAAAAAATATTTTGTAAAGAAAATTAAAGACCATACTGAAGGTAAATTAGCAAAACATATAATTTAAACAAAATATATATACAAAAACAGGAGAGTCGAGTCATTTACAGCATATTGGTACCTTGGATTTTAGGTCACGACCTTTCATATTATGGATAGACACAATCACAGTGTACAAGCACTCCAGGTATTGCAGATGGTCCCGGCGAATTCTTTCCTTCTTTTCCCTGTAAAAATGATAATGAATAATTCAAGGTGGTGTAGGAATGTGCAAAACTAGATCCAAAGGAATACATAAATTAATAATTATAATAAGAATAATTTGAGGTTCTTATATACTGCTTTATCACAACCTTGTTCATCTCAAAGCTGTTCACAAATTATTATCCGTGGTTATAGGGCCTTTGCAATCAGCCAATATCTTTCCCAACTCCCTGGGGAGCATACAGGCTGTGCTGCTATTTCGGTGCTCACAGCTAGCTTTCAACAATTTTAGCACTGCTCAACCATGTACTTATTTACAGCTGAGTAGACTGGAACAAGTGGAGTAAAGTGTCTTGCTCAAAGATACAACACAGTGCCCTGACGTGACTCGAACCCGTAACCCATTTGGTCACGAGCCCGGTGTCTTAGCACTAGACTACCGTGCCTCTTATTATTAAATTAAATTGAGGACCATAACTCATATTATCAATGGAAACAATTTGATGGTAACACAGGCACGGGTTAATGTTAAGGGTAAGATGTTGTTACGATACTTTCATCCTTGAAATTTCAGGGGTTCCGCTCACTTACGTTTCCTGCATCAAATTGAAGGCACTGACTGACTGTAGGCACAATTTCACGGGCGATACATGCAGTCTACATTGATCCTTTGAGGTATTCCGTCTTTGCGTATTGCAGAGTTATCTTCTCTTGAGAGCAGGTATTGATTGTTACGTCATTGGTTTGTGTGAGAAAATTACGTCGTTTTCTCAAAATTGATGACGTTACTCTCACAAACAAATGACGTCACAATCAATACATCAGAAGGATTTGTGATGCACCGTAACAGTATGATTGACGAACCCTGAAGTCAGGTGTGGCTCCCCTGTAACTTTCAAAGGCTCGGTAACAGCTGATTGAACGAGGAAGTTTCGAGGGAGATCAGTTTGTAGGTCAACATGAGGAAGTCTCCCTCTTAATGAGGGAGGGTTCCCAGCTGTGTTGTTGCATGTTCTACTGAACTGCAATTGATTTGGCCGTGCATGCCATAAAATACATGGGAAAATGAAAAAGTACAAGCAGACAGTACAGTATTAAATTTGAGGTTTTGACATTACATAGGGTGTGTACTGTGTACCCCAATAGTGTTTTCGTGATTATGTCAAAATCATGAATTATTCCAACCCCGAAAATCTTTCAATTTAAAACTGTCACAAGAATAACCTGACGTATGTCAGTAAATAAATAATTAATTGATTAAACTCACGTAATACCACTAGCGATTTTCATCAGTGGACTAAAACTTTCCTCTAGGTCTTCCATGGAGTCGCCTTCTTCAATGGGATCCATCAAGACTCTGGGAAAACTTTCAAAATCCATGTTAGAGGGCAACGCCAAGGACTTTCGTATCCTTGTCATCCTGCGCAAAACATTAGACTCCATCTGCTCCTGTTCCAATAATGACATGGTGTCGTCATTCTCACTGTCATTGTCATCTTCTTCCGAGTCGGAATCGGCCATGTGAACCAGTCCCAATTGTAGATCTTTTATCGACATGAGAACCATATCATTGTCCGAACTGCCCTCATCTTCACCCTTCTTTTGTAACTCCTAGGTGTGGAATCGTAAAAAGGCTTATATTATTCGTGAAAAAGGTAATTGTTTCAAGCAAGCTCCATTCACAACTATGGATACTTGTATAAAACCTAGGAGCATTCTATGGTTTAGTTAGGAAATCAGTTCTATAAAGTCAAGAGGGAAAATGAAGTTTAGAAGCTAGTATAGGTGCAAGTCCATTTGTGCAATGTTCTAGCAGCTAAAATGTGATCGTTTTCCTTGAATAATAAACATTATCACTATTTAGTATTAATGAAATAAACATCTTTGGTATAGAGAGGGCAGTACTAAATCAAAAACATTTTTTGGGATTATATTTATATCATCCCCAAATTAATATTTCAGGACCTCCTGATTTTCCAATCGAAATATAGATTTTATTTTAATGAGAGATTAAATAAATACCCCCAGATGAAATTCTGTAACAAATTGAAACATTTGCCATTTAAGGTGATTTGTAATTAGAGACCTAGAAATCTGTTCTGTAAGTGTTAAAACTTGGTCAAATTCTTTATCCCAACATCATTGAGAGCGTGCAGAATATTCTTCAAACTACAATTTAACACCTAAGTCTGTATTCATGAAACCATTCTCATGCTCAAGCACAAATTCTGTATTTTTTACTTACTTAATTATTTGACATCTTAAAAAAGTCAAGTTTAAACATTAAAAACAGCATGTGGCATTAAGTCTTCCTAAAGTTCTCCCTAGTCATTGACAAAGTGTGAATTTCTATACAATTCTTTATCAATGGAACAAGAAATTGGGCTTGAGGACAGAGTCTGAGTTGAGCAGGTGAATATTTTTGTGAATTAAAAACAGGCCCTTGATCCTCAATATGTACATATTGTGCCCACAATAGCAGTTTAATTTTTCTAATAAAATTCCTGTAATTTGCTTGCATCATTTGCATTGAAACATCCCCCACACAGAGGGATATTTACAGATTTTGATAAAAGTATCAAAATTACCATCCCATTTTTTTCTGCTTTCAAAACCATCTTAACGTTGAAAGCAATTTTTCAAAATATTTTGTTTCACATAAAAGAATTATTTTGGTAGAAGCACGCTTTTTACTAACTTCTAATTGAACAGACTAAATGACATTTTTAACCGACCAACTTTTGTAAAATTATATAAAAGATATGCAAGTAAAAGGTGATTGGACAGGCCAAAATCGGAACTAAACCAGTCATTTGGCCTGCTGTCTGTTCGTAATGAAAACCCTGTAGATATAGCCAATCCAAACAACAAGTACTGTTCTATCCTATTTTGAAGGACCATTTACCTGTTGCTGTCGGACATATTCCTCATAAGACTGACCACCTCGTACATAGCGTATGACCTTGGCATCCTCTGCTAGTTTCTCTCTGACCTTGCGATAACCGTTTAATTGTGGAATCGACACCAACTCTTCTGACTTTGCAGGTCCCTCTGCTCTGTCCGGACTTTGGATCTGAAAATAAACCTTTCATTATATGAATGTGAAATTTTGTTGAATGTTCATTACATTATGGGACTTTTATGGGAATTTATAGATAGTGGTTAATCTGATCAGCACAGGTCATATGTCATAAGAATATTTAATTTAAGCCAAACAAAAAATATATTTGCTGTGCCTTCCCTAAACTTTTTAAGGCAATTTCAAAGTTGGTTTGGTTTGGTTTAGTATTGTTAACGACCTATCAACAGTCATTTAAGGACGGCCTCCCCTGAGTGCAAGATGCATGTGTGTAGCGTATATGATGTGTGTGTGTTTTGGGAGGCTGCGATATGTTCGTGTTTGTCTCCTTGTGATAGCGAGGAACTAATGCCGACTTTATAGTGCTACCTCACTGAAACATACTGCCGAAGACACCCAGCAGGACACCCCACCTGGTCACATTATACTGATAACGGGAGAATCAGTTAAGCAGGAGTAGAAACTACCATTTTTACAGACTCTGGTATGTCTTGGCCATGGGACAGAACCCAAAGCCTTCCTCACAGAGGCGAAAGCTCAACTAAAGGCCAAAAGTGAGGCATTTTTTAAGGGAGACATTAGGAAGAAGAAAGTTGTTTAGAAAGAAGACAGAAGATAAGATCCCAAATTTAGTCGCCTCTTACGATCATGCAATGGGGGCAGCAGGTTCAAAGAAGCACTGTTAAAGTGAAGTTCACTCTGCTTTATAAACCATATAAAATTATTAGTTAAACTATACTTGAACACCAAAAATAATTTATTTTCTTCCTTTTAGAAAGTGTTGGATCAATGCCAATTACTTTGCTATGATTCTTTATGAGCTCTTTGAATGAAGACTTTTAATAATTTTCCCCTCGAAAAAATATAAAAATATTCACCACACCTGAAATATTCATCAAAACTATAAAGAAGGTCCCCTATATAATTACTTCTCCTTCAATTTTGATGACTGGTAACACTTTTTTCTTCTTTCGGTCTGGTTTGGCATCATAAAACTGCTTGTGAGGTGCAGACCAAACCTGTAACAAAAAAGGTGTATAATGGTTCTTAGCGAAACGTAGGTGTAGGTATTATAGTGAACCTATAGGTAGTACATGTATATAACGATGGATGGAAAATGTTGGAAAACACCACTTTACAAATGTTCTTGTTAGATACATTGTGACATAAGACATGCAAATACAATGCATGTTGATTATATCTACTCTACCATCTCATATGTAATGGTTTGACCTAAAATATAAACTTCATTAATTTTGCAACAATTATGAAACAAATTATTCATACTTATATCAATCACTCAACCACTCAATGGTAGATATGGTGGGTAAAATTTGGAACAGCATTGCATATATGCATGCATCATTATTTAGATGTGTGCATTGTCCAGTAGTCAACGGTTGTTGCAAATTAACCAGTAAAAATAAAAGTGCTTTCATTTAACGTAGATGAAATTACATGAAATAAATATATATATATATATGTGTGTGTGAAAATAAGAGCTGTTAGATAAATGTATGTGATCCTAATTTAAAAAATTGTTTTATGTCCTTCAAACATTATTTCTTAATTTGTCCTTTAGAGTTAATATTTGCTAGATATCTTATCTGGCTGACATGCTACATCTAAATAGTCATATATATGGCTCCTCAATTATTTACTACAAACATGAAAGCCAAAAAATTGCAAAGATGAACTTATATATTATATACAGCACAATACCTGGTCATCAAGGGTGTTTTGAAGGGTTTTCAGTACAAGGTCATAAGGGTCAAGGACAACTTCCCCTCCAAGTTCACGATATGGCTCACAGGGGGTGGTGTGAAAGCCCTTTTCCAGGTTGCTTAGGCGACGTAAGTAATGGCGTTTCCATAACATCTTCGGCCGCTCCTCCAGTAGATTTGTATTGGTTCTGTTCCATACTTTTTTGAATTTGTACGGCTTGTCTAGAATTTGACAAATTTAATTAAAGTGTATTAATTATTATTAGTTCTACAAGTTTTTAGCTACTCTGTGGCACCCAAACAATTCTCTGGACAATGGATGAAATGCTCTATAGACTGGCCCAGAAAATTGAGAAAAAATTACCCCATAATTTGATTATTTCTGATTGGAAATAGGACGGAAATTCTGCCCAAATGTGACTTCAAAACACTGAAGGTATAATTACAATTTTTAGTAAATATTATAGTCATGCTAAATTCCCAATAGACCTAGGGTTTGCAAATTTAATCTCTCCCCCCATATTCTTTTAACAAGTAGGAAATGAGATAAACAACACCATTCAAGATTCACATTGTAAAGTATGGAATGTTGACATGGTGCTAAAATATTATTTTTGTTTTATATACTTAAAATTACAACATTTGCACAGGCCCCACATCTTCTTGGCCCCTGTGGTACAGAATGGTAAAGAAATGGAAATGTTCAAAGTGGGTGGAAACTGATGTTTTACCTGGCTTTGGGTTATAGTGGTTCCTTACAATTTTGGTGATATCATTGCTGATGGGTGTTGCTCGAAAACTTGTCATGGTATTACATTTCTAAATTCTGAAACTGAAAAAAAATAAGAATGATAACATATATGTGCACTGCAGTCACAGGCGTTTGTTTCTATCAATACAAATGGTCATATCAATAAGAAGTCAAACCCTACTCATATAATATACCAATATTTTATATGAGTAGGGTGTGACTTATTTTTATTGATATAAACAAATGCCTGTGACTGTAGTGCAGGTCAGATGTAAAGTTATGAGATTTTCGGAAAGCATTACTAAAAAAAAAACACCAGAAGGGAGTAAAATTGAACTGGAATTGGGTGAGTCCAAAAATGAAATATATGTGTTAGATTATGAGTCATAAGGTAACCTAACTGGGTAACCTTACAATCGTGACCGTATGGCCAAGTTCAACATGTTTAAAACTAAAAGAGATGCTTGTTTGCGCTTGGTAAAAACAAAGAAGATATATGAAATTATGTTGTATCTTGGTAGTAACCACTCGAGCTACCCTAAAAAAAATCTAAATTCGACTGACTTCCTTGTGATACTCACATGCATATATACTGTTTCCTTACCTTTTTTTTCCTATCATGGCGCCATGTTTACTTCACTACATGCTTTATGACGTCATAAAATAACCCTCGGTTGCCGCCCTTGTTCCAGAGGTGCGTTCGTTTACAGCTAACGTCGATTCTTCACATGTAAAAAGATCGCCTCACAAATTTGCCGTTAGTTTTAATCTTATTGGAGATAAATTTTCGGCTCCTAGCACAGTATTCTCATTTTTTTGGCAGCGTATTTTGTTTAATTAAAAGAAATTATCCAAATTATTTCAGATATTTGGTTTAATTTACAATTCGTGATGTAAAATGGACCCGGAATTGAAAAAACACACCAATACACTGTATTATAATTCTGATTGCAAAAAGCATTCACGATGATAACACAAAAGACTATTCTTTAAAAACTATCAAACTGTATATACACATTTTTATTAACATGCGCTTCATACAGCACCAAAAATAAACCAATTAACCACACAAGAGTTTTAGACATGGTTTTGAATATTCAAGTACAATTTAAAGGGTCTAGGACGCTTTTATTTCAAAGCATAGTTAGCTTAACGAATCTGCTTAATGCAACTTTTAAAAATGCGGTAGTTGATAAACATGTGAAAATTTACAATTGTTTTTGCTTTTCTTAAATTCCTATGGTAAAGTTGAAACCCTAAACATGCAGTTTTAACATCTAATTTGAATAACTTTGAAAATATTGAAGATTTAGAAAATGCGTTTAATGTTCGATAAGCTATTTAGACTTTGTACAATTTGATCCCAGAATTCAATAAAAGATAAAACTTCTGTAATTGGACAATAAGTACACATTTTAACACACAGTTGGGCATACTTTATTTTGTATTAATGTCTATTTAGATAACTATAAAGCATCAATAAAGCAGGTTTATAAACTACACCGTCAGATTTGCGACTTCGATAACGAGCTTTTACCAATTATACAAACGTACTCAACTGCCCATTAAAGAATCGAACACACAGATGTCCTAACACCTTTGGTCATTTAGAAATGTGCTACAATACATATATCACACATATAGACAAGGAGTTCCCCTACTATGTTTAAACGACACGTTATGTCTTCAGGGTTCTTGATTTTTTAGGTGTAAATATATCTTTGATGTACGGACGTAACAGCCAGTAATACTGCCGGATAGGTATAATGAAAATATCTGGAAAGATAATCTGAATCTTTAAATATAATTCATTTGAAAAAATAGATAAATGAAATATTATTCAAAACAATGACAGAGTTTAATATGTACAGCCTTCGTTTAACGTCGCCTTGGCACCAACGTTAGTAGCCCGAGCAATCCGGTTTTTACTAGGGGGGGGGGGGGGGGGGGGGGGGNTGTACACCATGGGTAATGTAATAACGAATTCATGTAGTCACTTGATAGGGAGACACTAAAGACGGGAAAAAAACAGGTTGGAGAGAAATGACAAGTTACAGTTCCAAAATGTCCAAATGAGGACAGCAGACCAATTCTGGTATCTCCTATGTCCCTTTCACCAAAAACACAGAACAACCCCCACTATGATTATACAGGAGGTCCCAAGTGCACGTTAGTCGCCTCAATGGGCGGATTGGTCGAGTGGTTAACACTCCTGCCTCCCACGCAGACGGCCGGGGTTCGATCCCCATGGAAAGTGTTTTTCTCCTGCCAACATAACTCCAACAACCTAGGTTGAGTATAAATTGGTCTGGGGTGGGTGTTGCGGTATCTGTGCTGTAGCATTCAAGTGAGGTGGCACTATAAATGATGTCGTTGGAAGCACGGTCCCACTACAAAGCAGAACACATTACATCTCCAGCACACACGCAGGCATACACACATAGGGAGATATTAGCCAGGTGGCATCGAACTAGCAGTTAGCTTCTGATAAGGCAGCTCCTGTGAATTCCGCAAAAATTGTATTGATTGATGTATATGCTAATTGTATTCATTGTATGCTTATGTTAACTAGATAGGGCGCTATATCAAATATTGTATATTTTTATTATCCATATCAGTGCCGGCGTACAGTAGGTATATAATTTCCTTCAACTCTACATGGGGATGTATTTTGAAGATAAAAAGACTCATGCGCAGTAACTCGTTTTATGTAATCGTCGGAAAAGCGAGAGTTGTCTGATTAAAAGGAATCCGAAGAGTGACGTCATAGAGGGCAGTATACATATATATAGTTCTTCACAGAAACATGCATTGTACAGTAATTATCGTACCGGGATCAGTCTGTTCTGCATATCTCAATATAAATGGTCATGTATATCTAATGTTACCGGCTTTTATGAGAGATAGAGCCATTTTCACCTACGGCCATTTTGAGTTACGTACATGTGTACACGTTTAAGATATTGTCGGAGATAGCATGCATATGACTCTATTGTGAGCCACTCATTGGGACTGTTAAGAAATATTTATTTGTATGGATCTTAGCATATCTAAGCGCCATTGAGGATTCCGCTATTGATCAAATAACTAAGTTATAATTAATGGCCTATTTACTGGAGAGAAAGAATCTGAAAAAAACTAAAGGGCAACAAAAAACAAATTTGCGTGACTGTTTTCTCGATTATACTCTTTTTAATTGCAGTCGATACTTACTACTAAAAGAATGAAATTCAGAATACATCAATTATTAAGTTGAATCAAATCAAGCAATAACATGTACATAGCTGATTGATGTCATCATATGATAGATACCTTCTGGGTCAATTTGACATCTCGAAGCGTTTAAAGCTTAATTATTTGAAGCTGTATGAAAAACGGCAATTTAAAAAAGCGCTTCCTTGTTTTTTTCTCATGTGTTGATACACCATTGACAGATTGCTTGAATATGTGTCTGACTTTTGTATTTCTGCATAAATGCAGGAACCTTTTCTGTTATAGTCGAATATTTACTTCTTTTACGGTACATGGGTTCAGTCTACAAGAACCTGTTTATATTTAAACATTACCAAAAGAAGCTGCATTCATAGGGCTATGAACGCAATTGGATCAGCGTTATTTTAAATCTTCTCCTCCCGCCTCGAATAGCTTGAGACAACCGTTAAAAGCAAACATTTTGGTGACGTTAGGATGTTCGGGAATTTCATTTGCACTGACGATACAGACACTTAGATATCTAAATATAATTGAATACCTACATATTCAAATCAATAATAACTACAAAATTGAAAATGTCAATACGTGTTTAAGGATTGAACGTCATATTTTTCTATGTTCATGCCGGTATGAACGCAAATGGGTTAAATACATTTTCCATGAATCCCGCTTTCAATTCTGTATAATAAGACATTGTCTAACTTTACATTTTTTTGTATAGATATTGCAATCTTTCAATTATAAGGATACCATTGGTGTCAGAGTACGCTCCTGGAAAATCAAAGTCAGTCAAAGACAAGCCAAGCTTGACCGACACCGCCCAGGGCCGAAATATCTCAAATCTAAGTACAAGTTCCAGTCGAGTGGTGTGAAAATTAAGGGGTGAACTCACCGTGATTTTTTAAAAGTCAGAGCAACCTCGTGACGTGTAAAACCGTTATTTTTATAGAAGTTTTTGTGACATGGGGAAAATGCGTCATCTTTTCCGGATGTTTTTTCACTCATTATAAATGTTGATTTTTACATTTAATCGGCAATATTGCTACATTGATTACGGAAAATGGACGTAGCTGTGTATTTGGTGTGGATTGTATATGCCTGTCTAGGATTTGTGAATGGGGGCTTGGAATCCCTGTCTGATTCAAAATATGAAGGTTTGTGACTTTTATTTTATTTTCTCATTGACAAAAACGTATTGACACACACCGCATAGAAAATGTAAATAAATGTCAATTTTCTTTTGTTTAATAAATCGCTTTTAACGTTAAGGTTCTTTAAATAACACCGTCCATTTATTTTTCAAGTCTAAATATTCAAAACTTCATTAGCTTTTTTAAAGTGAACAGTTTAAGAAAAAAATGTAATGATATATAAACTAGCGGTAGGTAAATATAGTTAAATATTGAATATTCTGGTGTGCGTTCGTTTAACTAGTTTTCATTTAGGAAACGTCACATTGGTAGAATACAAGCCTTTTAATACCGACTCGGCTAGGGAGATTTTCTCTTTGGCTCATTCGGTAGAGCGTATGACTGATAAACCAGATTGGTTTGGTTTAATTTTGTTTAACGTCCTATTAACAGCTAAGGTCATTTAAATTCAGGTCTGAGAGCTCCATTTTGAAGAATCTATTACATTCAGGTCTCATAGCTCCACTATATAGAATCTATTACATTCAGGTCTCAAAGCTCCCCTTACGGTCGTGGTAAACCAGAGGTCCCGGGTTCGACTCATAGCGGAGTTATTAAAACAAAATAATGAACTGTTACATTGGCGCCCACATAGGAAACCGGGATATATTGACAATAATATCCAGCGATGCTTTCAGAGGAATCGCTATATGACCAATGGTATATAGCACGAGTTCTTTCTTGGGGGATTTCTCTTTTAGTTCATTCCACAGAGCGCAAGACTAGTAAGCCAGAAGTCCCCGGTTCGACTCCTAGACATGTAAAACTTATGACTGATACAGAAATAGGGCACAGGGACTTGAGCATTTGTTACAAAAACGAGAGAATACGAGCTCGTATATATGATCATCTGGGCTGTTATTTTTACCGAAAGTCGATATAAACCCCTAAAACATGTAAAATTACTTTGAACACCTTAGTTAAAGTCCAAATATAGCTGTAACAAATGTTCTCAGGCCCCTGTGTAATAGGAGGGCTCACTCGGTTGGTGTACTTATTAGTGATTAAATACCAATATATAGCAATGGCAAAATTGATGAGGAGCATATCACTATAATATAACTTCAAATAAGCATCAAACTATCACTTTATCTGATTTATGTGTTCCGTATTTCATTACATGTATTTGATTCCTTACATACATGTTCACGTACAGGTGTTGTGTTTTAGGATTTCTGTTTGGTCCATTACCCGGTATATACTTTTTAATGTGTGTTCCGTTTATCGGTGTTTGGCCCATTGAATAATATAGTCAGGGACAGTATATAGAGTCCCTGGTATATAGTGTAGCACTTTATTCAACTTTATTGTTTCAATTGACCAAAACACTCCCCTCCCTCCCCCTTCCACAAAAAAATAATAATAAATAACAGACATTGTCGTTATATGTAAACGATGAGAAATTCTTCACAAGAAATTGATAGTAATAACTCAATATGACGGAAGCGATGTTTGAAATTTGTCTTTATGAATTTAAAGATGAACACAATTCAACAGCATTTTTAGTAACTGCCTCACCTTTTTTTGTTCCTGTTATTAACACATTCAGCTAAGTTCGCGGTGTACTCGTAAATGTGATAGTCGAAATGCTTTTCTATATACTTACACATTGCCATCACATGTTTCCTATCTACAGTAGGTTTAACCTTTTTATGTGAACTTCACAAATGATCTGTTGCAACTGACTGAGAATCCAAAAAATGTGTGTGTTACAATTCTTTCAACACCTCTTATGTTTTTTGATAACTGGTCAGAATTGCATATACAGTAAAACCTGTCAAATCTGAAACCTGCACATTCCGACAGCATGTCTCATTCGACACCCTTTGGGATACATTATATTAATCAGATTAGGCAGGATGTCAGAATACAAAGCTGGGATTTTATAGATTTCATAAGTAAGAAGATTATCTAGGAAGCATTTTGCTTGATTTTAAATTATGTCAGAATGTTTAGGGTCGGATTAGACAGGTTTTATTATACGTTTACAATCACATGTGTAGACTGACTATATAATTCGGTGATAAAGACCAACGTCCGATGCACAGTACACGTGCGTTTTTCGTATCAGTATAATATATTCTTTTCATAGAAGAAGGTTTTTTCTTCAGATAAAACCATCCCGGTTGACATAACATACAAACATGCGACAACAAAGGGCCATTTTCTCCACGTGGAGGTAACGCCACAAGGTGGAAGTGACGTCATATCCTTACGTCTTTTTCGCGTCAAGCGAAACGCTCTTCCCCCATCGCTACTGGTAGTTACGGAGGACGGACTCGTGGAGGATGTCTTCAGCAACAATTCAATACGGGTACGTCAAATATTATTTTATAAGTACATGTGTACAGTGAAACCTGTCTTTAGTAACAAATGGTTTAGTCAGATATGGCAATGTGTCGGTAAAGACAGTGTAAAAGACATAAACACTTGTAGTTTTGGGGTCGTTCATTATGTTATATATCACAAGAGGTTCTAAAAGTCAGTTGTCAGTAAATTCGGGTTCCACTTGATATTACAGGATGTCCTAAACGTCACGTGTCACTTCAGTCAGATTTCGCTCTGAAATTGTACGCACCTGTAATAGTATGTAAGAACGTACTAAGCACATTGAAAATGTTAGATAATTCTCCAATGTTTAACTAATGTCATAGAATACATCCAAAATATAATTTGGCATCAATTACCAAGAACGTATTGGGTAATCGGATGGTGCAGTGGATAGCGCACTTGCCTATCACCAAGGCGGCCGGGGTCCGATTCCCCGACCGGACGTGAAAAGATTGGCGGTTCAACTGCCGGAACACGTGGGTTTTCTCCGGGTGCTCCGGTTCCCCCCACACTAAGACCCGCGCGCGCGCTTACAACCGGGCCAACAAGAGTGATTCATATACGTTGAAATAAACTGTTTCACAATTGTTGTAAAATAAATAAAAGTTATCATAAGTATCTCAACCCCTTTTTTTTCTGATGTGAATTTCAATTTTGTATTTATGGTAAATTTTTTTAAACAATTGAACTTTTTCAAAGTTTTTAGAGTAAATAATATTTCACTCTTTAGAAACTTTGCTATTGAGATATCTTTTTCATAATAAAATCACGATGTGTTTATGGCAATGTCAAAATTCTGGCCTCAATGATTATCTTTGACGTCAAATTAACACACGTTGTCCAATACACCGGTAATAAATTCACAAAAATATTAACAATTCATAGTTTAGAGGGATTTAAGACAGTTTTAATGTTTGTAAATTCGATTTTTTTTCTCTAAACTCAAAATCATATTGTTATATTTGATTCATGTTGGCTTTCATTTTGTTTTGGTGTCTTCCCTAAGCCTGTTTCGGTTATTATAACTTTTGTATCGACTTTGAATTCAGACTTTGTCGCGTAAGTATTTACGACGTAGTTCACTATTTTCTAATTCATCTGATCTATTTATTCTTTTCATATGTATTTTCATCAATCGGGATTGTTCGTGGTTCTCATTCTTGTATTTCTTTTCATAGCTTCAAAGTGAGAAAACATTCTACAAAGATGAAGAAAATACTTCGGCATTTTCCATTGATTGGAAAGACGGGCAGATCAACATAATGGTAATTTGATTTTTTTTTTTTTTTTTTTAAAGATAAATAATTAAATTTGATTTAAAAATACAATCAGATTATTCTTCAAATATTATTGCGAACTTAAAAATGTCCTGAATAAATGAAATCAATCCAAATACATTGTATCTCATAATGTAATATAACGTGTATACATTTATGAGACAATACAATTTTCGCGCAAAAATTCAAACCTGCTGATAATGTTTTAATACCAGCATGGACACTTCGTTAGAGATGGTCTCCTCCATTCCGTCATATCAAGTGATGAGAATGTCGAAGGTCAGCGGTCACCAAGGTCATCAGGTGCGGGCAGAAGTCGTGTTACTCTTCCTCACTCAATGTCCAAGTCCACTACACCCATTGACCTTACAGGAGACGTCATACAATTCAACGGTAAGTCTATTTTTTATTTGTGTTTTATATTTGTTGTTTTTTTGTTTTTTGTTTATTGGTTTCATTCAATGTCAAACTTTCTGTGCAGTAAACCCCAATTCAGGTTTCATGATTTTAAAGTTGTGGGGGAAAACGAACCAATTTTACTAATTTTACATCACGTGATTTAAATCTTTGAATCAAGATAGTTAAATAGTTTCACTTTTTTTTCGATACCAACAGAAACTAAATAAATACTTCTTCTCTTATCTTTCCTGCCTTTTCTCCCCGATATGCTAGTTAATTTTTGGTTCTATAAAATATAATATTTCATAATCATCAAATAATCCCTTTTTAATTTTAATAGAAAGATATATCATTGAACAGTACAGAACACGCTGTAGGTGATGGACATTGTGTAATAAATGATAATCAAAACGTGACAGTCTGAGGTGGTTTGGGGTCACTTAGTTCGAAGATATCTTACTAAAGCGGATACGAATTAAGATATTTTAATCCTCCCAAATCTGCCCTTTGACGTATGCTTACAACATGGGAGGCTTCCTGGCTGGTTCTATAAAACATCTTTATTTAAATATAATGTGATTGAACCAAGTGTTACCCACGAGTGTCCCACAGTAACGATCGTTTACAGGTAGATTTCTGTGTAGATAAATGCATCAAAGGATAAAAGGCAGATACACGCTGATACAAATAAACAAAATTATGCTAATTATGTTGACCGATCTGCATGACTGTTTTACCGACCTGTAAGAAACCAGGAGTGGATTTCCATCAAGTGTGACTCAGTTAAACAAATGAATGTCTACCTCTTACCCACGAAATGAAAAAAAAAATGTAATCAATTTATTGCATACAGTTTGTGTAAAAATGTAGACAGGACAGGTGTTCCAGCTTCAAAAGCCGACAACATAAAATAATAGACTTGAAGACAAGACGTGTGTGCCAAGCATTTCAAAGCTCTACAACAGGTTTGAGACATGAAACATATTTCACCTGTTTAAAATCCTGACGATAAAACGACACATAGGCAACATTGAAAAGAAAAATCTGCTCAGCTCCTAAAAACCTGTCAACAACGAAATAAATGTACCTTGCTCCGAAAATCCGGACAAAAACAGCCTTTTGGACTCGAAATTTGTCAAATTTGCTTTAGAACACGACGACAAAATTAGACATAGAAACAATATAGACAAGACAAATCTGCCCTGTTCCTCCAAACCTGACAACAAAAACATGCTTAAAGGTAAGAGAGAAGTGTCGAGATCCTAAGAAATAAAAAACAATGGCAGAAATAGAGAAACAATAGATCTGCCCAGTTCCTCAATTCCTGACGACAAAAATAGAACTAAGGACGAGAAAGGCTTGTCTAGTTCCTAAACTCTGTCAACAAAAACAGACATAGAGATACGATAGATTTGCACAGTTCCTTAAAACCCGGCAAAACAGACAAGTGCGAGTCTAGCTCCTTTAAATCTGACAACAAACACAGGCACATAAACAAGGCAAGCATGGCCAAGCAAATGATATACCCACATGTACTAGCCTCGTCTGTCAATACACCTATTATATTATAGGTGTACTGACAGACGAGGATACTACCTGTGATATACATGTGTGTGTTGCCATGTGCTGTATTTTGTTTCATATCTCAAGCTGAACTATGTAACCTTCTCCCTTACAATAATCCAAACCTATTTCAGAAACAACAGTAGTCACTGAACGACGAAGGCGGAAAAGGCAGTCAGACGGTTCACAGCAACTGTACGTGGAGTATGTAGTGGTCACAGACTACCAGAACTACCTCAAGTAAGTACAGGAATATCCAAAACTGATATCTTCATTATCTTTATATCCAAAACTGATATCTTCATTATCTTTATAACCAAAACTGGTATTTTCATTCTCTTTATATTCAAAACTGATATTTTCATTCTCTGTACAACCAAAACAGATATCTTCATTCTCTTTATAACCAAAACTGATATTTTCATTATCTTGACATCCAAAACTGATATCTTCATTATCTTTATATCCAAAACTGATATTTTCATTCTCTTTATAACCAAAACTGATATCTTCATTCTCTTTATAACCAAAACTGATATCTTCATTCTCTTTATAACCAAAACTGATATCTTCGTTCTCTTTATAACCAAAACAGATATCTTCAATCTCTTTATAATCAAAACTGATATCTTCATTCTCTTTATAACCAAAACTGATATCTTCATTCTCTTTATAACCAAAACTGATATCTTCATTCTCTTTATAATCAAAACTAATATCTTTATTATCTTTATAACTAAAACTGATATCTTCATTCTCTTTATAACTAAAACTGATATTTTCATTCTCTTTATAACTAAAACTGATATCTTCATTATTTTTATATCCCAAACAGATATCTTCTATCTCTTTATAACCAAAAACTGATATCTTCATTATCTTTATATCCAAAATTAATATCTTCATTATCTTTATAACTAAAGCAGATATCTTCATTCTCTTTATAACTAAAACTGATATTTTCATTCTCGTTATAACTAAAACTGATATTTTAATTCTCTTTATCACTAAAACAGACATCTTCATTCTTTTTATAACTAAAAGAGATATCTTCATTTTCTTTATATCCAAAATTGATTTATTCTTTCTCTTCTAACTGATTAAAATACAGATCGTCATTTAACACTACGTCTGAACGATTTGGGTGATAAATTAACATTTTTATTTTAACCAGATTGCATTTTCGGATTAAGCTTTCAAGTCAAAGACTCATCTAAGTGTTGCATTGTGTGTTCATTTTAGATATTATATGGTTAAACCTTTTGTTAGTATTTAATAAAACATAAACAAAGCTATCTATATATTGTCATACTTTCCCTGTTCTAAAAGAAAAATGATGAAAAACAAAAATGAAATTGTCGTAAATAATTTAACCGGATTTTCACTCAATTGCTAAAAATAACCTTTTGAATATTTAAACTGAATGTTCATTTTTTCATGATACATTGTTCGGTAGAAATTTTGTAGTTATTTTTTTTTATAATAAATTATAAACAAAACTATCTATTGATTGTCATACATTCCCTGTTCTGAAAAGTAAAAAAAAACTGAATAAAAAAATACATAAATAAATATATCATAATTCAGTTTATCGCATGGAAATTGAAAAAGAAATCTGTATATCATTTAGGAATAGACAAAAGACTTAGAATATAATAAGAGACGGGTTCGAACATTTCCATGTCATATTTGGTTGTTTTAGATGGAAGACGGATATCGTTGCACTTAATATGACTGACACAGAAAAGGATTTGACCGCAAAATACAACATGCTTGAGTTCTATCAACATGTAGTACATGGGGTAAGTTTGATAGTTTTAACTCGACTTACATAGATAGGAAACATTTAGATCGTGACACACTGTTAGAGGTAGAATTTGTTCTCAATTGTAAGCATGCATCCTTAATTGTTGAAAAACTGTGTGGACAAGTTTGGGTTGTCAAATTTTCGGAGCGATCCGCTCCTTTTTCAAGACACAGTGAAACAGAACAGTTACATGTACATACAAATCATATTACAAGAAGATAGAATTGATATACTATAATTGAAAATATAGCTATTATATAAAACCAATAGTCCCCTCGGCTAAAGACAGCGAAGGCAGCAATTAAGCTGAGAGCATCGCGGACAAGGAAAACTGATTAGGATGTATCTAAAATGCCTTTTAGGAAAGGTGATAAGGACGCATTTGAAAAGTAAAGCAGATTTAACTTGTTGGTAACACCATAAACATTTGCGTTTGTTGCGTTTTCTTTGATAAATAAGGTTATACATTAATTCATACTTTGGGACTGCCTTGAGGATAGAGAACAAGCTGTGGTTTACACAATACAAAAATATGCTCTTCTACTCGCTATTTCTATATATCTATATACATATTTATTCTTTCAACCTCACTCTCAATGTTTGCGATCGGAAAAAAAGAAATTAAAAATGATGACAGACATTTAATGCATCCTAGATCTTTAAACATTTCACACTTAAAAATCACCTGGATTCCCTTGTGTTAAGCATAGTTGGATTGACCTTTGGTCCTTGTTGTCTTTTGAGCTTCTGATGATGTAGCTGCCTTTTAAATCAGTTTGTATATACATATTCTCTCTAGTGAATTAGCCAGTTTTAATGACACAAAATAAATTATTTACATCTGTCCGATAATACATTTATAAAGAGGTGGAGGCAAACAATGTTAGTGAGTTGTAATGGTCGATGACCAGTCCAACAAAATCTACAACAATGTGTTTGATCCTAAGCCTCTGTTGCACAAGGATGTAGAACAAGTGATATGCTGATAACCTCGATATGATATCAATCGGTGTTGGTTTGATTACGCATATTTTTTTTATTTTTTTTTTCATGTTTTTTTTTTTTTATGCATATTGTTACTCATAAAAATACTTGTTTGTTTGTTTTAGTCAGTGTTATAAACATAGATGCTACTAATATATCATTCATGATGATTGGTTGTGCATTTTATTTATTCAAGTGAGTTATACATAGATTTATGATTCTCAAGTCATAACCTACAGGATTCAATCACAAGAACAGAACCATACTGTTAATCACCGCTATTTTTGTAGTTTTGACATTACTCATATTAGGCTAGTTTAATTGTTTTTTCTTGCTCGCACTGGACTGTTTCTTATCTTAGGATTTTTCTTTTTATCTTAAAAAACCCATCCCTACTTTCAATATAAGTCATAGTTACAGGTTTATCATTGGTAAAATATCAAACGATAAGGGAATTGGTGACAGTTTTGTTTTTTGTTTTTGGTCAGGAGAGGAAGATTTTTTTCAATCAAATCTTGAAAAAACGAATTCCAAATGTCTTTTTAAGCTGTAAGGCCTTATCATTGACGAAATAAAAAATATAAAGGCATGAGGAATATTTTTATATCAATTGGCTTGATACCGTGTATTTTTTCGCTTCAGATGGACGTAATCTTCAAGACTCTTTCTAGCCAGAACCTGCAAGTAGAAATTGTACTCACCGGCCTTGTCATCTGTAATGTAAGATAACATGATGTTTTAAGGTTTTTAGAGTGAATGCCCTTGATTGATTATAGTAAGGGTTTTCCTGATTGATATAAAAACCAAGCCATTAAATTGAACTTCACAAGAAATATACTCATTTTCACATTTTTTGTGAAAGGTAACATGTTTGTTTTAATTACATATTCACTTATGTTTTTTTCTAGGAATCAAATATCTGCCCCTGGTCGGAGAAACACAGGATCTGTTCCGACTGTGATACTGTTGACGATAAGGAATGTCTGTTTGAGTTTTCAAAATGGAGACGAGATGTGCTCAAACGCTTACTGGATCACGACCATGCCACATTGTTCACGGGGTAAATAGTGATAAATTAAAGGCTAACAAAATAAATCCTGATTAGACAGATTACCAATGTTAAGGCTATTACAACGAACCCTGTTTGTTAGTTCTCATATTTAGAATGATTCAATATGTCAAGGTTTTTCTTAGACATGGATACTTATTTTATCAATTGGTTGATCTATTCCCATGTCTTTGTTGATCAATGACGTCAGTCTATTACAACGAAATCTGCCTTTTTCATCCTAGAAGTTCCATGGGTTACGCTCATTTACGCTCTCTGCAGAGAATGTAAGTGAACTAATTATATAAACCCTTGGAATTTCTGGGTTTCTTTTTTACTACAATATTCAATATGACTGGGAATCAAGGTACATATGTTTCTGTTTTACCAACCAAATGCTGTAGATCTAGACATGTGTCAACTTACACGCTGTTGGCGGACTTACATAGCTCACTTCTGAATCTATTTTCAAGTCATGGGATAGATACATACTGTTGTTGATCAATGAATCATGTAGTGAGGTGAAATTGTTGATTAATTAATTACAAATGTATGATCGTTACACTTGCCTAAATACTTTTTCAGTATATCAAACATCATCTGTTTCCAAGAAATTTTCCTGGATTTTCAGGAGACACAATACGTTTTATAACAGGTGCAACATTGGTGTAGGATTGGTTTGGTTTTATAAGGTTGAACGTACTATCAACAGCTTAGGTCACTTAAGGACGTGCCTCCGTGTGTGTTGTGTAAGCGTGAGTCTGTGTATGTGTGCTGGAGGCAGGGTATGTTGGTGTAATTGCCTCCTTGTGATAGCGTGGATCTGATGCCGACTTTATAGTGCTATCTCACTGAAATACCATTCCAAAGGCACATAGTACAGCATTCCGCCGGGTCACATTATACTGACAACGGGTAGACCAGTTGATTCAATTCCCTAAATGCTGAACGTTCCGGAACACATAAAATCATCCCCAATATTTAGGAGGTTCATGATGTCTTGTCGTTTGTTTTGGTGGCTTCTTACTTTATTGACTTTCAGTTCTGATTTTTTGCTTTATGATTTAAAGCTGAATTATGTTGTTTTTTTGTTTACACCTTTTTTTTCATTCATTTTTTTTTAGTTGTTATAAATGTATATGTTTTCTAAACCATACAGTTGTGGTTGTATAACATAATCATCAAATATGATTTATTCCATATGAATTGTATTATTCTTTCAGATATGATTTATACTACAAACTAATGCAGTCTAAAAAGACAGTTGGTAAGTTGAAACATTAAACCGAACTAGGAACAATCTAAAATTTCGTGTTAAACTGCTGTTATATTTCCATGTAATTTGAAGTTCCAAAAGTATATCTAAGCTAGTCAATACCAAGAGTAATTCTGTTAGGGAATATAATATACCATGAAATCATTATTGATTTATGCTATTTTTTATTTGTTATAACGTTATCACGTACCTTTAATACCCTTGATGTATAATAACACTATTTGAGCAGTCATTTGATGAGTATGCGATTGTGTCCTAAAAATTACGGGGGAATGCAAACAATGCAGAAATGTGATGTTTAACAAAGGTAAATCATATGATACCCAGAATCTTAATTTCTTTTACATTATGTCTTGTTTTTAAGAAACTTTATTGAAGATGAACGTAGAACACGCACATTTGATAACTTAAACTCGTTTGATGTCATTCGTATGTAATCTTGAGATTTTTTATTTATCTATTGCGTTGACGTGTGTTTCAGGTCTGGCGTACATGAGTAACATGTGTCAGAACGGTTCGGTGTCTCTAGTGGAGGAGAAAAGAAATGCCTTATCTATACATATTGCTGCACACGAGCTGGGACATAGGTAACACTTACATTGTTACACTCTACACCTGTAAATATATGTCCTATTTTCCCCGAAACACACAATTTTGCGTTAATTCGTGAATTGAATCAGCTCGCAAATATTAAAAAACCAACAAGGCCAAATCGTTCAATGTTTGGTTATATTTGTGTGAAGTCAAGTTTTTCCTCTTACATATTAGAAAAAATCAAATTAGGAATAAACATGCATGTCTAGAGATCCTGAAGTATCGTCCATAGAAAAAACATACAAAACATAACGGGTCATGGCAAAACGTGTATCTGTGCTTCAATGAATAACATGTCTATATAAGTAATATTTTTCTATGATTGAACACAACTTTTTCATATTCTTACATTTGAAATATTGATTTCCAGTTTTGGTTCCCACCATGATGGTAATGTGGTCGCCGAAGCGTGTCCAGAAGGAGACAAGTACTTGATGGCCCCAAGCATGCTAGGGGTGACTGATCCCACAGAAGCGAGTCATCCGTGGTGGTTCTCTCCTTGCTCACGGACCGCCATATACGACTACATAGAAAGTCTGGACAGGTAAGTTATTATTCACTTTAGTGGAACCTCCGTAGTCTTGACATTTTGGTGCCAGTGTCCAGTAGAACCTCCGTAGTCTGGACACTTGGTTCCCATTTACAGTGCAATATCTGTGTTTGGCTTTTAAGGTCTCGGTGGCCAATGAATCTTCGCGTATGAGTCATGCAATGGGGAATTGTATTGTAGAACTTTTGATATTTGTTTTTCGGTTTTATCTGGATATTTTTCTTCGTGTTTACAGTTAAATCTCGTCTGGACATCTTAGTTTTCTGTGTTCAGTGGGTCATTGTTAGTCGCAACAATGTGTAAGCTTTTGATTTATAGTCTAAATTCGGAAGGTTGGAAACTTTTGTTTCCGTATAAAAGGGAACCTTGTCAGTATGGTAGATCGTTATGTGTGTACAATTGAACCTGGTAAGTATGTTTTTTGTTGATATCTTCGGGTAGTTAAATCTCGGCAGTGTACACTTATTGTTCGGTATATATCTATACAGTAGTCATCTGGTAGAATGTAAACTATTTTTTTTTATCTTCAGTGGGTGTAATCGCGTTTGTATGGAAACTTTTATATGTTCTTGTACCTTTGGACGTCGGTATTTTGGTCATTTTGGTTTCTGTTGTAAAGCCACTGCGTTAAGTAGATCTTATGTAGTCTGACCTGTTATTAGAACTCGTTAAGTTGAACTAGTGTAACTCTGTTGCTTTGATTTTGTGTACATTTTATCATGGTTTTTGTTTAAACAGGAAGGGCTTGAATTGTATGATGAATGTTCCTGGCCTATATAACCCGCGTACAGAAGACGGAGCGGGACTGACTTATCTTCCGGACGACCAATGCAGGGCACAGTATGGCAAACGATCTGCGGTATGCAGGGTAAGATGATCGTGAAATAAAATCCGAATTCAGTACCGGATTCAGAAAAAAGAGTTTTGGGGAAAGGTGGTGCAAGATTTTTGATCGAGTTTGAAAATCTCGAAATGCGGCTTTGTGTGAAGTTTTGGGGCTCGGAAGTTGAAAATTATTACAGCTTCAATCGCTAAGCGTGGACGCCAAATTGTCATAACTAATTCTACCATAATTTGCTGCAACAGAAATTATGTTATTTTTTATGATACAAACAAATATAAATTGATTTTAGTCATACTCTAAACAAAGTAAGGCAAAAGAAAACATGTAAAACTAATTAAGCTATATTATTTCCCGTTCTTTACAAAAACATTATATATAAAAATTCATTCAGCTGTAGTACCCCACACTGTTTAACAGTATAAAATGATATTAAATGTATTTCATCAAGGCATATGTCAGTATAGGGAATTTGTCGTGGACTCGTCATTTGCCCACATATTCAAGAAGAATGGAAGTATATTGTAAATGGCGTATCAAGACATACACTATGACAATTGGTGAAATTGTTGAGTAAAACATAAATTAACGTAAAACACATTTAATTACGCGAATTGTTGCACGCAAAACGCATTGAATGTTGCAAATAATAAAACAAACCACATAGATGTACTTTTTAAGGTAAAGGTACCAACAATTTAAACTATTATTATCGTTGTAACTATAGTAACAAATAACTTATTACTCCTTTTCACATGGTGCAGCTTATTTTACAGAAATATAGTTGTTCGAAAATAAAAAGTTTGAAAAAAGAAATAAAAATGAAAACAAAAAAAAATGACGTCATCATAAAAGAATGTCCAATTTATAGGTAAAAAAGTCTATGAAAAACTTTACAGGAGAAATACCTCTCAACCAGAAAACAACTCCTCTTGGTTGTTTCATCTGCTATATAGAAGGTGAAAGAGGGACTATTCAAAGAAAAACAACTATCTCTTCACGGTGTTAGCTCTTGCAGTGGATGCCTGTCCGTTCAGTATCAATGTAAGAAATGTTATCAAAATTGCTTCACATTTGCATAACAAGGACATGATGTTAATGTGAAGTATGATATCTGAGGGTACAATGGCATGTTATGAATGCATGGGTGTACCGGTGCAGTTTACAAACCAGGTTTAGATGCACTTAGGTGGTCTTGTTATACTCATAAACAGTTATAATGTCCAGCAAAAATACATGTCTTCATTCTGGAAATTTTATATTGTAGGAATATCATGTGGACGCCTGGAGCAGTATCTGTTACAGCATGGCGTGTCGTATCCCGGGGAAAGGGGAGTGCACTCTCATCTATCCCCACGACGGTACACCCTGTGCGAACCTGAGGGTAAGTATGACACTCAGAAGAACTCCATTAACTCATATTTTAAAACTCTGTTTGATAATTTAAATTATGCTTATTATTACTTATTGCCCGCATCAGGCAAATTATTTCAACATAAATTATATAAATACGCGAAAGGAATGCTATGAAATATGCTGTATGTTAGTAAGTTTAAACCATATTTTATTCATGTCAATAAGTATCTACAATTACATAGACATTTAATTCTGATGATTAGGAAACAAGTACTATTGTACTTATACATAGTCCTTCTCATCGTTTATAACAAGCTTAGCTGATAAAACATGTATAACTTTGCAGTGATAGCCTAAAAATGTAGATAAGAAACTGTTAAGAGAAAAAGATAGAACATGATATTAGCGATAAAGAAAGTAACTGATGGAGTTTCACTCGGTTGGATGGGTAGTTAAGTTTACATGATACCTTAATGTAGTTAAATTCTAATTGCTTGTAAATATTCTGGTTGATTTGATAAAATTTTGAGTAGCTATAAAAATGTTTACATTTTGATCATACCAAACAGTTATAAATCAACACTTAATTGGTAAGGTAAAGGAGTCAAGTATCTTTGGCGTGATTCAATGTGATTAGTACAAGATGTATGTTAAGTATCAGTCATATCGGTGCACTGTTGAAAATTATTTACGTGAATAATGTATTTGAAAAGCCCAACCTATTCTTTCCTGAAAAATAGATAAACCACTTATTCATCAATGTTGAAATTAAATTTCATCTGTAATGCTTCACCAGTATTTGAAACTCTGATTACGAAAATGTTTGTGAAGTTGGCATTTTTGTTTGTCTCTTTTAACGCCTTAAATATTTATTCTTGGAGGAAATATAGCGTTTGCGAATCCTCAGTGATGCAACAATTTACATAAATGTGCTTAACTGATAACTTTTTACCTGTAGTGAATGCAATTAAGTGTAACATAAAAAATCTGATCATTGAGATATTTTAGAAAAAAAATGTTCATTTATTTTACAGTGGTGCCAGCAAGGCAACTGTATATACAGTGGAAATACACGTGACGTTGATGGTAAGTAATTCTTTCAGATGAACAAAATCAATTTTGTATGATAAATATAATCGATTTCAAAAAAATCAATATCTTTATTATGAGTTTTGGGAAAATGATGGTATTTGTGATGTATTTTACTCCGACTTGTGATAAAAACGTTATGTTGATTTTATATTTTAGAGTTGTGTCCCCTTGGTGATGACCCAAACTACGTCTGTACGTCATCAGACTGTGATGGTTCAGTACGAATGAGAGCGCACTGCTGTCAGACATGTCGACACATGATAACTGTCGCCATGACAACTTCCACAGTTACCACAACAACACGCGACACTACGAAAACATCAACAGATACTACGACTGTCACGACAACACCACATGTCACTACTATTGCCACAACAACACCATCTGTTACCACAACGATGGAATCTACAAAATCAACTTTGACTGATGATGACGTCGGCGTCATCACCACAACGCAACAAAATGCAACCACTTATTCACCCACGGATGTAAATAAATCAATATCTTCAGGCACGGTCAAGCCTATAGTCTCGTCCACGCCTACAAGTCATCCAATGTCCTCAATACTTTCTACGCCCACAAGCCAGATATCCCCTATCAATCAGTCTGAACCTACACAGCAAATGACACCGTCAGTAACAATGGATCGATCAGATATAACTGGAAGTACAATTTCATCCACCAACCAACCACCACGTTCTACCACTGGCAGTATACTTCAAACCTTCACACAGCCACCACCTCGAACAACTCTCAGTACACTTAAAGCCACCATACACACACTTCCTAAAATTCAAACTACAGCAATTACAAACTTCAATCAAACCACTATTGGTACAAATGATATTGAAAACCAAACAGATAAATCTATGACTACGCCACCTCAAACCACTAAACAACGTCCAACCACTGTGAATTCACATGCAACGTCTCCTGATCTGCATAAGAACACAACGGACCTAGTCTCTTCAATGCCTTCTCCTGAAAACTCTATTTCACCAGAACCAGATTCAACTACTGCAGGTTCTTCAATTATAAATACTGAATCAGCATCATCTATCACTACTAAGCGTTCACCAACACATTCAACACCGATTCCTACCACTCCGGAGATTTTCAATACATCTACAGATTCAACAGTGGATGTAACACTTAGTTCAGTTGTTTCAATTTCAAATTCAACAGATTCAATAACGAATTCATCAGTTTCAAATTCAACAGATTCATTATTAAATATGAATAATTCAACAATTGATTCAACTGTTACATTGGGCAACTCAACAGATATTACGAATGTAGAACAAACAACTCCTCTAGGATCATACACTGTAAATGATTCAACAAAATCAGAAAATTCAACTTTCAATTCAATACAAAATTCAACCGCTTTACCGGGTAATAGTGCACCTGGTAAATCTCAATCTACAACCGACAGCACTAATATGTTTGAAACAACAAGGACTAACAAAGTGTCCTTTGAACCAACGACCGAGAGTACCAGGGCAGATGGAAACCTGTTGAATAAGGCATCAGATATCAATAATTCAAATTTGTTTGTACTATTCTTCTTCGTCTTAACCAAGTTGCTACGCTGGTCAAGGATGGGTTAGAATTACAACATGAAATCTAACCACAACTGTACATATTATGCGGAACATAAGTTATTTGTATTTCGGCTAGTATAACAATGCATTGCAGTCAGTACATATAAGACTGTTCATCGAAATGATTATCCGAACATTCTAATTGAGTTTATCGACTAAAAGATAGTTTACAATAAATTATACTTTTTCTTTTAGAATTTTTCGTAAGGTTAATGAATTGATGTGGACACGTGAAGGCATATACATGGACGTTTGTAACCTCGTGTTATAGGTCTAAATTGCCCAAGTCCAGTCACATGTTGTCTGCACTTGTCATACATAAGGGAAGAGGGGGACTTTTAAAGAGTTTTGTAAGTGTTGATTGGGCAAAACAAACTACACGCGCATGTATTATTGTCTAATAGTACATGGTTTACTTTAACCGGTGAAAAGTATCGTTATATCGACAGCGTCGTGTGATAGTCTTGATTAAAAGTACTGTGATATTATTTATTTATTATTTTGTTACGAAACAACTGTAAGTTTACACAGTTTTGATTTCGTGCAATATTCTTTTCGTGGTTTTGTAATTTTCAAGTTATTTGTCGCTGTACATGTATTATTTCGTTCATTTCCAAAAGAGTATTTTGCGGATTGTGATAAATCTTTGGATTCCTTTATCTAAGGAAATAACACTGCTTTGATATATTGATGATGAATTTTAATTGGCTTTTTAAACACAGGGGCGTGGCAAGATCCCCAAACCCCACATTCCATACACATATATACAGACCGCATGGTGGGGGATCTGTGCCACGCCAATGTAGTTATAAAATATGAAGGATGCATTACTTTGTAAAGCAATCATAGATTCAGAAATAAATTGATGAATATACATACACCTGTATTTTGTTCATTTACATGTACTTTCATTTTGTTTTCTTCAGCAGAGATTATATTTTGAAATGGATATACTAAGTCATTCTCTGATTTTAAATACTGTATACAGTGAATCTTTCGCTTTGTCACACATTCGTCCTACGCCGATAAAATTCAACTTGATCATATGTTCATTTCGCCCTTTACGTTTGAAAACTATGTTAATCATGTTGTAAACTAATGTTGGTTCTGAAGATAAATTCGCTTGCATTGCGGAGGGCGAAACGTAAACTACGGCAAAAGTATCCTGGTAACGTATTTCTGTTAAAAAAATTAACATCATGAAAATAAAGAAGATGTTTTGACAACGAAAGCCACATGTATTTATTTCCGACACAAATATGTACAAAATTAATAAACCAGGCAGTGAATATATGTTGCGTATTCATATGCTATCTTATAGATTATTTTCTTTAGCAGATGTTACATTTTAGAACACCGATATCAATCGATTTCTTAATCGTAAATTCTAATCTTATATTACAGATCATACTTCCATTCAGAAATAAAATATCAGGAATAAAAAATGAGGTTATCATACGTGATATGTAGTTGATCCACTGACATCAGATCAGAAAATAGTTAATACATAAATATGTGAACACAGTAATAACTTTTACGTTATGTTTTCTTAAGAGGAAAGGAAATATCAAAATAAAAATATTAATTTAATCAATGATGCAGTTTCGGTAAACAATAAAACATGATACAAACTAAATCCAAACCAATGTTATTATGGTGCTAAACGAATATTTTGCTGAAACACATTTAGTAATAATACATTTGGTTAAATCCGTGTTGCGTTGACTCGCAAGGCCGGTCTGTCATAAAAAGAAAAATATCTTATGACTTTTTATGTATTCATATCAAAGTCAAATATATTTATTATATTATAGCTTTGTTACCGATTATCAGTCTAGAAAACGATTGACAATAGATGCGTCCTCAACAGCTGATTACAAACCAAACATTTCGTTTTTTCTTCCTTTGGTCGTTTGTGAACAACATGATTTGAAATGAGTTATCTGAATTCAACTCAATTCAAGTTTATTTGGTAAAAAAGGTACAACAACATTTTCATACAGTACCCAATACATGTTTTGGCACTAATAATGTATATGGCTGATTACATTATAAAACATATTAATGTAAAATTATATAAGTCTCTAAAAAAAGTTATCACACTTTTAAAAATTACAAGTTGAGTAATGGTTATGCCTACGAAAAATAAAATAAGTAAAATATATGATGCCCTTAAAACCAGGATTACCCAGAAAGCCATGAAGCTTATTTCCACTGGGGTCCATTAAAAGACACATAAAGACTCCTTAAGTAAAAATTACTATAGTTATTATATTTTGAAGATAACTGGTTGTAACTTAAAACACATTATATCGAAGTACAGCACCCATATTGTGTGCACACTCACATATTCACATACACACATACAAAAACATATATATAGAACATATTACGTTAATAAAATACAATTATCTTATCCTGTTCTCTTTTTAGTTTTACAAAAAGATGTTTTTTGATCGCAACTTTGAACTCTGAAAGTTGATACTTTGAACTCTGAACCTGTTAATGTGATAAGTGTAAAAGTAAGGGAAAGGAAATTTCAATTTCATTTGTTTGAAAGTGAAAAGTTGTTTATATCTTAAAGGCAGGAAAGAGTACTCAGTTCTTAAAAAATGTCTCCACAGATTTTAACATTTATTTAGTAAATAATATCATTTGTTTTTTACAGTAAAACAAAGCGATGTGATCATATTACTACCGTAATTCACAAACGCAGAACGAGGTCTATTGCCATCTAAAGCTATAATAATCACACTGTTAATGTTTTCAAATGAAGACGATTGTTTCGTCCACCAATTGACATATTTATTTGAAGCAGTAAAAAAAGCTGTATTCGCAAAAAAGGGGTAAATAATCGCAATGCTTACAAGATTTTTTAATTTTTTTTACACACCATACTTCCAGAAGTTACTAAAAAATAATTTACATATCATACTGTTAAAAGATAAAGTATGTATTCATTTTACACACCATACTTCTAGAAGATAATATATATAATTTACATATCATACTGTTAGAAGAAAATGTATATATTTATTTTACACATCATACTTCTAGCAGATAATATATATAATTTACATATCATACCGTTAGGAGATAATGTATATATTCATTTTACATACCATACTTTTAGAAGATCATATATATAATTTACATATCATACTGTTAAAAGATAATGTATATATTTATTTTACACACCATATTTTTAGAAAATAATATATATAATTTACATATCATACTGTTAGATGATCATGTAAATATTTCTTTTACACATCATACTTCTAGAAGATAATATATATAATTTACATATCATACTGTTAGAAGATAATGTATATAAAAACAAATTTTACACTGCTAGCAAGATAATGTTTAACAATATCATATACGGAAATTCAAAAAGCTGTTTGAGTATGTATCATTACATTTGGGCCCGTAAATCCAGACACTACCCTCCCCTTCTTCAATCTCCCCCACCTCTCCCCTCCACTATTATTTCAGTAATTGTCGGAACTACCGGGGTTTAGATAAACATACTGTTTAGCTGCTACTTCTTATAAAAGCGTTTTGATGTTACTTAATGCGGTTTATGTATTCAATTTCTCGAATATTTAGGAAATATTCTATTTTTGCGATTTCAGATTTTCACAATTGACCTGAAAAGACATTTCCGCTAGGAATGTTATTCACAAAATGAATGATAACACATATTTAGTAATTGTTTTATGTGTTAAGTGAGTATTCATAAAATATCATTAGAATAAACGAAGAAAACAAATGTGATTTGCTATATATCCAAATTTTCGAATAAAACAGATGAGCCGATAGCGACTGCCCGATGTTTCTCTTAGAACTAGTTATGAGAAAATATATATTTTAAAAGAGGAGGTTTTCGCGGAGGGGAAATTCTTGCGTTTTTTTGCTTTGAGTAAATTAGCGCGAAAATATGCACTAGCATAATATATGTATAAATGTTAATAAAGAGATTATTTAGATTATATTTACATGGTATATAAAGACTTCTGAACCATTGTCAACGCGACAATTTCCACACCGCGAACAGTTAACAGAGTTACAATCTTCAATCTTACAGATTCAGGAGAGCAGTGTTTGAATGGTAGTAGTCACATGATCTCCGTGGCACAAAAACATTAGATTCCAACACCACCGCGATTTATTTCTATTAAGTAATAATTCAATTCAACACTGCACGGCCTTGTATATTCGCTTATGTTACTTTGCGAGATCAAAACATTTAACAGTTGCAGTCTGCCTGTTATGATACGTATGAGCATTCAGGCCACAAACGAAGTTTCAGAAATGGTACAAGATTTTGCCAGCAAAATCCACTTGATAGTATTGAAGAATGATCATCCTGACCACCCAAGAAATTTCAGGAAATAGTACAAGATTTGCCATAGCTAGAATCACGATAGTATTGTAGAAGCTTCACCTTGTCCAAATCAGTAACAATCCAGACGATATTGTCCTGATCCAAACCCATCGCACTGATACACGTGCTGTCGGAGTGTATAACCGAAATGTGTTTCCCCTGATCACTGACAAGGTGAACAAAACGTCTGTCAGCTATAACCAGGCTTCCATGACTGTCATACGAAATATACGTGGGCTCCAAAATCGGCATGTCATCTGTGTATTTGAACAGTATTTCGAAGTTTTTGTTCATGACAAGCACCTGTCTCCGAGGAGTGTTTTCATCGGATACGCTTAGATCCAAAATTGCGATATTTTGAGAAACCCTACATTCGGAAATCTTGACTGGATTGTGCCCATTGAAATTTTCCGTTCCTGACAATTTCGTAGAAATTATCTTTCGGCCAGCAAGTGTGAATTTGGTGAGTTTTTGATTGGTTCCGATCAGGATGCGATTGTCATGTGTCGCACACAGACAAACGGGCCTGTCGTTGGTGAAGAATTGGAAACGAAAACATGGATTTTTTGACAGCGAGCAATCCATCACGGACCAATTGTCCGCGGAACAGGCCCAAAGGGTTTGTGTGGTCGGAGAAACACTAATATCCCTAATTCTCAGGTTGGAGCTCACCCGTGCGTACACGAGGCCGTTCCTGTGCAAGAGAATTACACCTTTCATGTCAGAATAAGTCACCCAAACTCTATCATCTTGGTCGGTACATATGGTATTTCCAAAGTTAGATGAAACAGCGCCTTCAGTTATCACTTTAGCTTTTGGTAGTAGTCTATTCTTGGATGACACAGGTTCTGGCTGGGAACGTTTCTCATGCAAATGTTTGTTTGTCTCTGAATGTATTGATCTAGTTGTAGCAAGGTCATTCGACAGAGTAGACCACGACGAACCTGAAAATATGTCAGGGATTGCATCTCTCTCGTGCAGATCGACATGTTCAAAGGTACCAAATGCCTTTTCAAGGTTTTCATAAAAGTGGTCATTTGGAGTAAACCTGACACTTTTAAGAGACGGTTTGAATGGATATACTAAAGCATCAGGAATATCAAAGTCGTAGATCTCAACATCACCTCCAGTTTGAAGGAACTCTTTACATTTTTGCAAATGTTTTTCAAAACTTTGCAGCCTTTTATGAAGTTTTTCCTTGAAATTCTTCAATTCCAAAGCATTTTCTTCTTCCAATACTTTATAAAGTCCTGTAAATTTTGCAATTTGAGCGTCTATCTCTTCTTTCATTCGGTTGCCTTGTTCCGTCAAATGTATGATATGATTCGCAAAATGTTCAGAATTATTTTTCAGTTCATTGTCTGTCCAATCCAACTCATTTCTGACTTCAAGTAAATCCTTTTTCTCTATATGCTCAATAAACTGCTGAATGTTTTCTTTCTTCGCTGCTATTTTGATACTTAGGTCTCCCAGAACGTGGTTCCTATGAACTGTATATAGACACTGGAGACATCCAAGTTCATTACACGTTTCACACTCGAAAATCACCTTGTTTCCATGGTGATAAGCACAGTTGGATTGACCTTTGCTCCTAACTGCCTGTTGACGTGCTGATGGTAAGTCGGCCATTTGAATCAATGTGTGTAAGTTAACATGTTCTGTCGAGTAAATAAGTAAGTTTTACTGGCAAAGCAACACAACGTTGACGTTTTATACCTAACCGTTTGTAATAAATAATACAATTTTAATCAAACAGGAAGATAACAATTTTAGTAAATTTGATTGGTCAATGGCTTGTCCAATGGAAGTGGTAAATAGTTTATAGTTAATGTTTATAGTCAGATGAGCGTACCTACATGTTAATAGCCCCGATATACCAATGGTTGTGTATGTTTAACATTAATAATCTGATAACCGATAACCGAATGGATATGATAGCAGATGATTTTAATTTAGACATTGTGCCATCATATCCATAAATGTTACTGATAACGCCTAAATTATGTGTAAATATATATATTAGCATTGATGATGAAATTACAGGGAGATCAACGTTAAGCACACACAGGAGATTGCAACTATGAAATTTGGTAATAGATACAGTTTGCCAAAAATGAATTACGCTACATCATACAGCTGTTTCGCCCTTCTATGATTCATCGTTGATGCTAGGGGTCAAAAGCTGGGAAAACAAAATTGTCTAAACTACTGTTGAAACAGAAAGGCGAGGCGCATGAAAACCTCAAATCTATGAATTTCAAAATAGAAACTTGTATTGATTCATTTCAAATTAAATGATTAGTAAAATGTGTACATTATGAACCGTGCTACTACTCAAAAGAGATTAGTGTGGCTATCGAGGTTACGGCAAACCTTAGGGACTAAGAAATCCGCCAGCAGAACAATTTCAGATTCAATAGATTGGATAACGAACCATCTATCTCAAATTCAGCAGTGATGAATACGAACAATTCAATAAGCAATTCAATTGATGTAGACCAATTCAGCAGAGTATGCGAATGACCAAAGCCACAAACAACTCCATTATAGGATCACTAAACTGATCCAACAATATTAAAAAGAAAAATCAAGTGTTAATTCAACACAAAATACAATCGTTTCCCCGAATGATAATGTACCTGATAAGTTCAAACTCGATTCAACAACCAAAAACACCAGGACAGATGGAAACATGTCGATGAAGGCGCGCAAACATTTATAATTCATATATTAAATTGGTTTTTACTATTCTCTTTTTGCTCTACGAATCCGCAACTCTTCATATCACTGGCTTATTGTGATCATATAAAAATGTAAGAAATGACGACTTTTTACACGATTTGCTGGAACATAAACAAGTTAGTTTATTTGTATTTCGGCTTTATAATGAAGTTCAGTCAGTGAATCAAATCACAGTCATTTTATATCGAAAACAAAATGATAACGGACACTAGTTTAAATTTTAAAAGTAAGGAGTTGACATATTGTTATATTGATTTTGCGAATTGACTTCATTCATATTTGTATATCTGTCACGCCGTGTGGCACATGGGCATATCACAGATAAGATACAACTGATAATGATTTATATCAGCTTATAACAGTGGTATTTACTTTCGCACGTTTATGACATTGAAATGTATAACGAGGATACAACAAATATTGATGCGAAAAAATATTTCCTGAGTAAATAATATTGCCAATGTTTGTGAATCCAGAGTTTTACATTCCATCATAACACCAACATTTTGCTGGAAATATATAAACTTAAATAACCACATGTAAATAAAATCAATTGCGATTTCGTATCTTTTTGGTTCCTTTAATGCAACGTGGCGTAGATAATGATCATTTTAAACTCTTTTTATTCATTCAAAGCCTCGTTTTCTTTCAACTAAAAGGCAAATGTTAAAGCTGATTTAACATTTATGGAAGATTTGAGTGGTCAACTAGTGCCAGTTTAAGGTAGATATGTCTTGAAACGTTTTGATATGTACATGCACGCATGTACCCTCAGTATACAAACCTAATGTGTCTAAGATCAGTCACATACGGTTCACTTATTTACATTCGTATAACAATGAAAACCTTTCACAGAACGTTGCACATTAATGATTTATTGGGCAAAAACAACAGCATGCACGAGCATGCATCATTGTCAAATATTACAACTTTAGTATAATAAGTGAAAGGTGTCGTTACATTGCCGGCGAGGTATGATAGTCTTAAATGAAGCTCTGAGAATTTGATAAATACGTTTATGAGAAATTGCTACATAACTTTATACAGCTTTGCTTTTGTGCAATATTATTTCAATACATTTATTTTCAAATGCCATTTCAAACTTTTGTTTTAATTCGTGATTTTTGTCGTTGTATATAATTAGGGATTCATCCAGTGTATTCCACGGGGTTTTTGAATTAACTGTGAAAAATATCCGAGTACATTATTGTTGTTTTGATAAATCAATTCTATTTTGTCGGTTTAAAAGGATTTCAAAATATATCGCTAATTAAAACATGTTTAAATTGGTTTTATTATGTTTGCGCCCTACCGATATTAACAGCTAAGTTCATTTAAGGAACGGCCTCTATGTGTATTATGTATACGTGCATGTGTGTATGTGTGCTGAAGCCAGGGTATGTTGGTGTATTTGCCTGTTTGTGATAGCGCGTATCTGATGCCGACTTTACATTGCTACCTCACTGAAATACCTGCCCAAGACACCCAGCACAGCGTTCCTCTTGGTCACAGTATACTGACAACAGATTAAACAGTTGTTGTCTTAACCCAAATTTTGACCGTTAAGCAAGAAATAACAACTACCATTTTAAGGATTTATAGTTTAACAATCCCGTGTTGAGAAATGGCAATAATGAATTAACATTTAAATGTGTATTTTTTTTATTTTTTTATTTGATTTTGTTTTGCTTGGGGAATATTATATTAAAAATAAATCAATGCAGTCATTGATTGTAAACATTTGTCTTACAGTTGATAAGAGCGAAGGTCTCGGGTGCCGTAGTCACACAAGCGGTGCTCTTTACCGGTAACATGTGAGTGTAAATAGATCTGATCCAACCAAACTGATTCCATCACTGAATCGTACAGCCACAGCCTAGAAACGTTTCGTACTTCCGGTGACCTCTTCCGGTCCATGGAGCCCGTAAATATATCAAATAATTGTTTTATTCAACCACATTTAACAACAATACTGCTCAAGAACAACAAGTGCATCATGAAACTGACATCCATTCCATCAGGTTAACACAATTATGACTGAACACAAGACAACACACAATCTTGCTCAAATTTGACAATGACATTAGAAGGGAATCAATCAAACATTGAGGAAAACATGGTCAAAATCGCAAAACCTCCCACAAAGAACGATGACACAAAGTTAAACCTCCAGAAACGTCACTTGCAAACAACTGTTTTTATCTGATATATGCCAATCAATCCCGAGGTATCTACAAAACTTAATTACAACAGCGACGATGAAAATGAGGAATCTCCTGCTATAGATACCTGGAATTTCTAAGGTATATGATTAGTACAAACATTAAATTTCCTCATTTCACGTGGATTATCTAAATTATTAAAAAGAAAAATCTTAAATCTTCATTTTATGCGTATAATGGTGTGAGACGTGACAGTCTCTAACCTGCTATATCTAACACGCTAAACATATTTAAATTAAAAACAGATACATCCTTCATGGACTGGCATATCAGCTCAAACCATTTGTTTAAACATGATGTCTACAACTCTCATTATCATGTTTACTCTATGATTTGTTTCTTTTTGATCAAAATAATAATATATAATATTATGAACAGACATGAGTAGAGGGAGGGTGTATATAAATGTATACTTTTATTCTTGGATAAAACAAGAACCAAATGAGGATACTATTACCAGCAATATGGTCTAGTATTACTGTAGTACAAACCAGTCAACTTCAAGCTAACATGTGATGCGTCATATTGGTGTAGTGTGAATGTGGATCATTCTAAAACAGAGCACACATAAGTACAAGGATGAATGATTTTCCCCAGCAACAGATTCAAGTTTATTATACAAAACCAAGTACAGGTACATTTTGTATGTATTAAAATGGGTAATGTTATGATTCAAAAATTATACTATACTATTGAAACAACTGTACAGTATGTGCTTCGCTCTCTCCAGGCCATGCCTGAATCAGAAATACAAGTAATAAATACATGTATATAAATAAAATAATCTGTAAACATAATGAAGAATCGTTTTCTCTCATTTCCCTGTGTGTAAGATAGAGCTATCCAGGGTAAGAAAGGGGTGTAGGAAATGTCTACCTTACACCCCATTCCACGTGAGGTGACGTCACAATAGCTCGACAATGACGTGAAGTCACGAATTTGGAACTCTCCTATGCCGCAATGCGGAAAAGGCGCGACCAGATCAAATTAAAACCCTTTTACGATATATTTACCGTACACGTTAGATAGATGTGATTAATTTTCCTAAGCAAACCTCGTTTGCCAATATGGGATAAGTTTAATACGGCTGGCTGATTCATTTTCGTTTAAAAAGCTCAGGGTGGGGTATTTTCAAAATGGTGGCCAGTCCAAATGCATTTTCATGGTTTCTGAACTTATTTGTGTGGTTAGAATGAGAGAAAAATACTCTTTCATGCTCGGGGGTGTAGGATAGGGAAATTCCACCCAGGGATTTTCCTATCCAACACCCCTGAGCATGAATGAGTCTTATAATATTTTTGTATGTATTATCTTTATAATCTGTTTTCTAAAGCAGAGTTAAAAAATTATTTGCAAATACATAAAACAATTGTAAAAGAATATCGCGTTCACCCTTTACACAATAAAACATTATGACAAACAAAAACCTTAATCAATATACACTGAGCTATCATAACCAACTAGCAACTTGTTAATATCCCGTCGATTGATACCTCTTAAAAGGAACACTCAGGAATAACTGATTTTTTTATTATTTTATTTTTGCAAATACTTGCAGAAAAGATGTTTGAAATTTAAAATATTACTAGTTCAGAAAATGATTAACAGAATGTGCGTCGTCGACAACAAAGTTGCAGCCAAAATATGTATTGTTCTTCCTTCACT